AATAACATCAAATAACCTATAATAAGAGACAAAACATTTAAAAAGAGAAACAAAAGCTCTTTAACGATAACCAAACACAAAATGGCTCACAAGACTCAACTTAAAACAAAATTGTATCGCCCCCCACGCAGTTGTACACATATACATGCATACAACACACACATGTATATAATATTACCCCCTTGCAAATATTCGTTAGGAAAACACCGGCTATTTCATTTTCCTAGTAAAAGCCAGCCTCCTACGTCAAAAACATAATTGGCATGCCCTTCACTGCCGATGGTCGTAGCTCTTTGAATTGCTAGATGGGGTCCTATGAGCGTACTTGGGAATATTGCGAGGTATTGTTTTGGATTTTTCATTGAAATGGTTAACTGAAATCTTATGATTGATGTCGATTTTTGATGTTGTTTCTATAATTACACAAGCAAAAATAAATTTAAATATTCTCAGTAGTAGCACGGAGTTTGGAATTGTGCCCGGTATATGGCAATAGGCTCACCCCCTATTACATGGGACTCATAACATAAATAGTGAAAAGTGGGTGTTACATTGTACAGTAGTATAATGTGCACCTCTGCCTATCCCTTTGAGGATAAAAGGCGTGATGTTATGTTGTTATGCAAAAATAAATTCTGTGATATTTTTAATGCACATGACAGCCTTATTTTTAAAAATAAAATATAATATAACGGTTCTTGAAAAGTTGTATTTGAACTGTAGCCACTTGACCTTTATCGTGAATTTATTAGTACCTAATTTAATCAATTTTTGTCTTGTAAACACAAACTCTCTTTTCATAGAATTTCAGTATTAATATTCTTGACATTATTCATTTTAAATTTAAGTGAACATTTATTACATAGACATTTATAAACATGTGTTATTAGAACGAGTTCAGACATATTTAATTGATTGTATTGTATTTTGTTTTGTAGTAATTTTAATCGACTACGTAAGTTAGTTTCTATTATTATTATGTTGAGAACTAGTTACTTCCACACGGTTTCATCGTCTCTGCTCGACTCCTGTTGGTCGGAGCATGATGTTTTATAGTCTGTAGCCTTCCTCGAGAAATGGACTATCCAACACAAAAAGGTTTTTTCAAATCGAACGAGTAGTTCCTGAGATTAGCACGTTCAAACTAACATACTCTTTAGCTTTATATAATAGTACTAGCGACCCGTCCCGGCTTCACACGAGTGCAATATGTATGTATTATACATATAAACCTTCCTTAAGAATCACTCTATTAAAAAAACCGCATCAAAATCCGTTACGTAGTTTTAAAGATCGAAACATACATAGGGACAGACAGACGGCGGATAGCGACTTTGTTTTGTACTATGTAGTGATAAGACATAATTTTAATAATCAGGTGCAAAGGTCCTGCTTGTACGTGGAATTTCATCGACCAGACCTGCACAGGAAAATACCAAAGATATATTTATTTTTAACCAGAAAATATTCTATTTTGCGTACCACATCCAGTATAAATAATTCCAACCCTCTATACATAGATTCGCACAGGCTCTCGGGAAAGGTCAATAACCCCTCCCGAGTTTCCAACTACCCTCCGATATTCAGATTTGAATAACGCACCACGGCACCACCCTCGAAAATTTCACCATTACATTTTCTTCAAACCGATCCCTATAAAAGAATTGTAGGTTTAGAAGAAAGTTTTCCGCCATTATTACTGTAAGTGTAGAATTGTGAATAACGGATTTTTGTTTTTTTTTGTTTTGTTTTAATCGCTTTTTTCCTTATTGTTTTTTTTTTTGTTTATTTCTGTATGACTTCTTGAGGTAAAAGTACCTAATTCGTCTTATTTTATTTTCTTGAATGATTGCTTTATTTAATTGTATGTACGTCTCTTATGTTCTGAGTTGGGGTTCTTTCTATGTTGCTAATTACGCTGTTAGACACTGATCAGTAGAAAGCTTCTTCTAGAAGTTTAAAACTTATACTTATTTAGAACGAGCTGTTGCCCGCGACTTCGTCCGCATGGAATATGAATTTAAGGACATAACATTTTTGTTTGTTTCAATTTTCCAAAAGAAAAGTAGCCTATGTTACTCCTTAGTACATCAGCTACCTGCCAATTAAATTTCCATCAGAATCCGTCTAACCATTCCAGAGATTAGCCAGAGTACAAACAGAAAAATTGACAGACAGACAAATTATAAAAAATGTTATTTTAATATGTGTATCGTATGTATATGTGTATTTATATGCATACGGTAAAAAGCGGGTATTTTAATACTACAAACAGACTCACCAATTTTATGTATCTGTTTGATTGGGAATACATATTACGGCATCTATTACATTTTGTGCATAACTAAAAATACTGTTTTGAATTGGATGATAATTATGATAATTATATTCTTCATTGTTTTTTTTTTTACAATGCAATGTTATGATGATACAATTCTCTATTTTATACTATTAGTTTAGAATATCGAAAATTGTATGCAATTAAATACATATTCGGAGGAAGGGTAGGCAGAGACTATGGAACCATCAAAATCGGATCCAGGAGTTTGCATTCATCAGTTATATAAACTAAACAACTAAACTCAATAAGACTACTACGAACAAACCAAATATTATACATTCTCTATGATTATTTTTCCAGTACACCACACAATCGCAATACTATTTTTTATCAGAGAATCTCTCTCGCTATCAAATTGTATGGAAAAGTATATAGATATGTAAATGTATGTATGTAGGTCTGTCTGTCTGTACAGCCTCCCTCGTTATATGAACCCGTCGGGCTCACAGCCCCACTTCCGGCTCGAAGGACCAATACCGGAAATGGATAAGGAATATATCCGCAGTCTCATTTCAGTTGAAAAGGAAATACACAGAAGTAGACTTTTCTAATGTTTTAATTAAAAAATGTGAATTGTCTCTGTATAACCTTTTGTTTTTCTTAGCGTTTTAATCTCAAGAAAAAACAGTACAATAGGACCATGTCGTGTCTTTTGTTTTAAATAAAAACATTGTCTTTTTAAAGTTAAGTACCTAGCTGAGATCTAAAACTAGACCAAAACTTCCAAGGTCGGTGGTCGGCGTCGCACGCACACCACTGGACCGCCACCCCTCACCCACACAGGCGCAGGACACGTGTACGATCACCCCTACACATGGTTGCCATAGCAACACAGCATCCTACTTCCACGCCCACTACCCCGGGGGCGAACTCTCAAGATATTACGCCCTACTTCGTTCGCATTGGTGAACCAAAGGGGTGTAGGAGCAGCGCGCCTGTGTGCGACCGTTCCGTTCCCGCTACGACCTGATGGAATTCACCAATTCCATTTTAAACTCAGTGACATCTACTTCTTCCGAAGCTTTTCGATACAAGTACCGAATTAAAAGTTAACTAGGAAAACTCGCGTGTATACTGAATGCAAACCGAGCACTCAACTTTATTCGCAACATTCACCGTCCGCTCGTTAACAAACCTATTCAAATTTGAAGTATTAGTCGATTGAGGCAACATTTCTCGCGTCCTATCGCCACGAGTTCCAATTAGCGACTGCGGCTTGTCGCTCAAGTGGCGGTGACGTCACGCCGAGCTTTCATGCGGCTTCAATAACTACCCACTCAGCGATTTCTTCAATAGCCGGCCACTCCACCTGGCCTTCATTAGGGACCTTCTCAATGTACACGCAAAGCTGAAAAGATGCCTACTAATTTAAAAAAATGCAAGTTTTAACGAGAAAAGTTGTTTAGCTAATAAAGCAGCTCAGCTCAGCGTCAGCGCTAAGTATTTAATAGCGGTATCTAATTGCGTGATATAATTTTGAATTATTGCCGTCTGTCAACGGAACAAAGCGCGCTCAACTCTTTTGTTTCTACCGGTCGCGCCATAGACAAATCTTATTATGGAAATATTTTCAAATTAAGAACGCGCTGCTCCCGCATTATGCGTCTCGACTGTCATCATTGTCTATGGCTTCTTTTTGTTCGTTGCTCGCATGTCGAGGTTTTTCGACCACCGTTTCGGTTATTTTTTCTTTTTTAAACTGTCCCGAGCGTGAATGGAGGTCTTTGTTTGTTCGTGTTTTATTATTAATTAGTGGGGCTTCTTTGTTCGTGGTAATTATTGTCTTAATAAGCAGTTCCTGCTCTTCGACTATAGACGGGCGAGGGATTGTCAGCCCTTTTACTTTTAAATTGCTTGGAATTATGTGTTTAGAGAACGTTCTTGGTCAGTGCTACTTCACTCGCGTTGCTTTTTAAATTTGACAAGCTTTGAAATGCCTTTGTCATAACTGAATATGTCTACGAACGAGCTTTTAAAATATTCTTATGACAACCGTATTATTATTTCATTATCCTTGTAAGACGAAGACTGGAAACCGCATTGAGTATTCAATAATAAGAAATGTAAAAGTACTATCTGAACTATCTTACTTTCTTTCCTTTTATTCTTGAAAAAACAACTATCAGAAAGTTGCCAATAATAAAAACCATCAAAATTAAATAACGTCTGCGTGTACTGTCGTTTATATCGCATAATAAAGTGGTGAAAAGAATTCCCAGTTTAATTAGAGGTGAGATACTCTGCTCGGAAGTGCGACGCGCTTCAATGGCCCTCGTTGGGCGCCATTTTGCATAATTGGGCGACGGCGAGGGTAGAACGAAATTTATACGTTCCAGGCGCCAATTTACTTGCTAATGACGCGTCGTCTTCCCATAGAGTAGTTGTCGGGTTTTTGTTGCCGTGGAACCTTGTTTTTTTAGGGTTGTGTGGAAGGTTGTTTGTTCATTTGTTTCTTTTTACGAAAATATTCGTTTTTTTCGGGTTCTGTAGCCTGTAGACATGACGCCGGTCCCGTTACGTTTTGTGTCTACTGGTCTTCAGCCAGGATTTGACTACGTGATCTTTTTGTGTCTGGAGGGAACGGATTATTTATTTTATTCTGGAAAATATTTTGCCTTTTGAACTGTATGAACTAAATTTTTGTTTCTTTTTGTTACAGACGGGTAAGATGGGCTTACCAGCGGGTGGAGGCCTATCGTTGTTCTGTCCTGGTGGCGAACTGGGGCAGCCCCCTCCTGCCCATATGGGCATACCTCCGCCATACCAGCTCGACTCTAAATTAGGTAAGGTCATGTTAAAATTAAACTCAATCATTAATCTTTCATGATTTATTTTCTAGAATTTCCTGAAGGTTATCCAGTGGCCATTGAGCCAAATATACTATTACCAAGTTGAATAACTTAATAATTTAGAATACATAGTTATAACCAGATTCAGTTGAAAGTCAGTATTTTAACTACACGGAGCTACTAATATGTCCATTAATTTTTCTATAGAACTTTTCTAGAGAATAATTCTCCATCTAAAACTCTTCAAATTATATGTAACTGGATATAAAATAACAATTAAATTGAATCTAAACATAGCGTACAAATACAAATTATATCTTTATTTAATGTACTTCACATACGTCTCAGGACATAAATATACAACTACTAAGTTTGCTGAATGTAGATACTAACTAGATACATGTTACAGCGGCTGGGTTGGCGCGCACCCCCATGTACCCCTTCCCTGGGGGGACGTACCCCTACCCCATGCTCAGTCCAGAGATGTCACAAGTCGCAGCCTCATGGTGAGTTTACTATCATTTTGTTTGTTTTTATTCATGTTATGTTTAAGAGTTGTTTTTAGCAATAGTTTATTCAATTATTTTTCCACCGAAAACAAAATTGTTGAAGCCAAATTCTTTCTAAGCTTACCTCCGATCATTGGCATGTTATAAAATTGTTATAGAATTATTTTATAAGTACCTTTTTTTTTTTTTTTTTTTTTAAGGGGGGAAAATCATCGAATGACTGCCCCCGCCTGGGTGAGGCGGGAGGGAGTGTCAGACTCTTACTGACTAAAAACCACCCCGTTCCTTCTCCTGCACGTCGAGCCGGAGCCCCGGTTACCCGTTAGGTTCTCCGCGACTCCGAATCGGCATCGGCCCTATTGGGCCCCATCTGTGGTGGTCTGATGGCTCTTTGAGGCGCGCGCGGAACGCGACGCGCCGTACGCTCGGGTCTGTTTCTGGTCGGACGGGGAGCCACCCATGCTCGCCGTCCGCAGGCCCGCGCTTACGGTGGCCGGAGATCGTCCCGCGATCCCCGACGCCCGGTGTGTCCTTCGCGATGGCTGGGTTGCGAGGAGGCAGCGCTTCGCTGCCTCACGCGTCCCGCCTCCTCCTTAGCTAGCATGACTGCTTCGCAAAAGGAGGAGACGGCATCCCAATCCCCCTCGCTCCGCATCATGGCCTGCACTAGGCCCGGACGCGAGAGGTCGCCATCGCCGATCACTTCCCTGAGGACACGGCGGTGCTCAGCCCACGAAGGGCATTCTCCCACCGTGTGTTCCACCGTGTCCTCAGGGCTTTATAAGTACCTATGAAGTAATTAATTAAGAGGTATTGCAAGTTGTAATCCTTTCTTAGCGCTTATTTATTTTTAACCGACTTAAAAAAAATCTCAATTCGACCGTATTTCTTAGTGCTTTTGCGACTGAAAGGACCAACTTTGCAACAAATGTTGATAATAGAAATTAATCAATAATGGGTAGGTATTCTGTAACTGAACAAACTGAATCATTAAAATCAAAGTCAAAATTATTTATTTCAATTAAACCTAGAAGGCACTTTTGAACGTCAACAACAAAATTTAAAGTGAACTTTATGCTCATTCCAATGTGTAGATTCCTATGGAGAAGAACGAGCAAGAGACCCTATAGGTTACTTATTTTCAATCAGGTTGACAATACAATTTTTGTTAAAAAAGTTCATATTGTTGGTGGAGTTGGGTGCAATAATTAAGGTCATTCTATATGAGAGTGACATATAGCTCACTGTGACCAAACCTTCTTTAATAAATAAAAATATCATTCTAAGTATGTCTTCTTAACAAATCGATTTATTTCCAGGCACACGCCAACCATGTATCCTATATCGTCAGCGGCGAGCGGGTTTCGAAGTCCGTACCCCACGTCGTTGCCCATCTCAAGTTCTAGTCTATCGAGGTATGGTATCCCTAGGTACATACACACTTATATATTCACAGTACAGGCCTATTATTTAACGACAACAAACAGAAGAAAACCATCTAAAAGAAAATACCATCATAACTTCCTCAAGAATACTTGGTTGTCATAAACGATAGTGGCGCCATCTACGTATAGCGATTTTGAGATTCGGTCCTTCGAGACGTGAAGTTTTCCAATATTTTGTTATCGCTAAATAATCTGTCTGTACTGTCCTTAATCATGATAGTTACTACTTCTACTCTAATAAATACCCCTAATAAACCCTCTAATAAACCCCTTCTCATATTCAGAAGTAATCCACCCTGTAATACAATCAAGTATTACACAATTGTAACATAATATCAAACGTTTAATACCTTGATAAGCAAGCCTTCTAAGAAGTTCTCGAAAACCATAATCACTGTTTCTATTAATATTATTCCACTATAGCAGTTCCAAATGATCTCGACCCCTAATAATCTAGCAAAAGAAGTAGCAACTATCTTTCTACAAAGAATTCCTGACTAATTATTTCTTTCTTTCCCAGTGAATTGTACCGGTTTTCCCCAACGCTGGGCGGAGGCCTCGGTCTGGGCCTAGGGCCAGCGCTCGTACCTCCTCCCCCTTCTAAGTCAGACCTTGACTCACATCACTCGAGATATGCAAGGTAAGAATTAAGTTAAAGATAAATTTTAATGATACCATCAGGTGATCCATGTGCTCGTTTACTGGCGTATGCCAGAAAAATAATAATAGGGTAGTTACCTAAATTTTATTTTATTGTCCGTCTGGTACATTAACACAAAACTTTAGACACGTATTTTTTCTTTACTCACAAAATTAAATACTTTCGACGATATATTCATTTGAAATATCGTATGACGTCACAGCGTGCCACATTTTGTAGCACGTTATGACGTAACGACCTCCCACTCCTAAACTTAGCGCCATTTTATCTAAGTATTGCAACTTCATACGAGAAAATAAAAAAATACGTGTCTAATATTTTTTCATTATTTAACTGACAGGACTGACTAATTAGATTTTTAATTTTGATACCCTGGAAACTACCCAATCGACTGACATTAGAATTTAAAACCTTAAAAAAAGATTTAAGTATTTATTGAATTCTGCCAAAAAGTCAACATGAACTGTCTCACATAAATTGTCGTCAATTCAAGTTAATATTTATGGTGTTTGTGGCCTTAAAATCATGTATGTTTCATGGCACATCTCGACAAATGGTTTATACAATTTCCCATCGATTTGTCTTATGGTTTATTGCCATTTGTACGGCATACAGATGTGTTATTATACCCTTAGTTTTGGATATAGCGACGAAATGTATGTTTTCGAAGAATAAATTTTCCAAGAGTATTTTAAAACAATGTGGGTTGTATTAATATTGAATTATTCATTTTTTGTTTCGTTTCATCAAGCCCGTGTTTGATGTATAAAATTTATAAAGTTTGATAATGAGTTATCTTCTCTGTTAGAAGCACTTTCGAAGAGAAATACCAATATTATTTCTTTCTTGCTTTCTAGACTTCTAACTCTTTAACTATTGTAAGTCTCTCAGATGCAAAGTAATATTATTTTGTACTAGCTACTTCCGCGCGGTTGCACCCGCTCCTTGATAAATGTTCTATCCAACACCAAAAGAACTATTGAAATCGGACAGGTAGTTTCGGAGATTAGCGCGTTCAAACAATAGTAATAGTATAGATTACTCTAAGTTTACTTTGCAATAGTAACTAAAACAAAGCTAGAACCTTGCACAACATCACTGTGTAGGTTCCGACTATTTCAACAATACTAAAATGATTCTAATAACACCAAAAAACTGTATCCATTTCGTTCCAAAAAACATTTTAACTGAAAAAACATTGATTGTTACCGTGAACAAATATTTGTAATTTTTTATTCACACCACGCTTCGGAATATTCAAATATTTAAACGGTACAAAAACAATTATAATAATAACAATTTTTAACAAAACGTTTCAATCAACTGCACGCGAGTAACGTTTTTGTCACAGGTCACACCCTTTGTGCTTATCTCTGATCGTATCATAGCGTGATGGTATCGCTACGGCTATTATACTACTAAACTGCCCACCCTCTTGTTCGAAAGATTGAAGATAAGGCGTGTAGGGGTGGTTTGGACACATGTTATTTCTGCGATTTGTATTATGAATTAATATTATGATTTTGTAAACATTTTCGATAAGTGTTTTGAGTAGCTTGTAGTCCAGAAGTCTGGAATAAGCAACTACCGTTTTAAAGGCTGTAACTCAAGAAGCGAAACTACCATTCATAAAATAAAATAAAGATAGTACCATAGTACTATCTTAACCATTTAATAATGTAGGCAAATGTTGTATTTTATTATTTAATTACATTTTGGATCGAACGATTATTTTTGGGATCAGAGCTAAAAATCAATTGTGCTCACGGAAATATTTATTTTTCCAAGTCCTGTACTGGCACTAAGACATCATAATCTACCCATATTTGCATTTTGTAACCATTATAACAAACACAACATAACATCATAACATAATTTCTTTTATCCACGAAGGGGTAGGCAGAGGTGCACTTTATACCACTGTACAATGTAACACCCACTTTTCACTATTTATGTTATGAGTCCCATGTAATAGGGGGTGAGCCTATTGCCATATACCGGGCATAACTAACAATCATACTAAATAAACATACATTAAAAAAAGGTAGAAAGTAGGTTACACATTTCTACATGGTCCTTTTTGGTCCTTCGAGTCGCGAAATAAAACCTCAGTAATTAACAATGCTACCGTATAAAATATGCGTGTTAAAAATAAACTGTCAACAGGATTGACTGATCAGGTAACACTGGTAACAAGAAAGCTGACTCCTCAGTACAAGTTGCCAGATTCGAAACGAAGTTTACATCAGTCAAAATGTATGTAAAACAGCGATGTCTTATTGCTAGCGGGGAAAACAAAACTAAACTTTATATGCGTCAACATCTCCGGAACTCCTGGTCCGAATTGAATAATTCCTTTTGTGTTGAATAATCCATTTATGGAGGAAGGCTATAAGCTATAAATCATCACGCTGCGATCAATAGGAGCCGAGCAGAGCGGGTGAAACCTAACTGTGAAATATAAATTGTTAGGCAATTTAATGACATTTTCTTGGATTTTTGGCAAGGTTTACATATTTATGTACCTATATTATACAACATCAACCATAATATACCATTGCTGAAATCTTGGCCTTCCCTAATCCCTAAATAAAAGGATTTTTTTAAAGTTCCAGTTTATAAGATAGCACAGTTGGTTAATTTCTGTTAAATGTATGCCCTCAGAAAAAGAAGGAAAAGTTAAAAATGTATTGTACTTAGCCATGAACATAGAGCATAATCACATTCCCAACATTAATATTAATAAACAAAATCGCTCCCGCTAATCGCTGACCCTGCAACCTGCCTATAATACACACGGCCACACATCAATCTATACAAAACCAGTTTATCCTGGTGTCGCGTCGCATCGTCTTTCCGCACATTTAACGTTCAGTTTATACTGGTTATGTAAAGCTCGATGTGTAGCCGTGTATATGTATATACATAAAAGTCAATATACATACAATCATGTAAATAAGTCCCTGGCGGAGAAATTTAATTAAGATGATATATGAGGGACGAGGTAACTGGCCGTCACCAGGTACAGTCAGCAAAAAAATATGTAGTTACAGTCTGCCCTTTAAAAAAATTGAAAATAATCAACTTGATATATTGAGCTGTGTTAGTCCATGTGGCTGACGGTGTTTCTGAGTGCGAGGTTTGGGTTTCATTCTTGAGATGGACTCAAAATTATCTTGATATGTTAGCTAGTCACATTGAAAGTGACTCAAGCTTCGGTCATGGAAATGTGAATTTTATCTGGCATTAAAGCTACTATTTTATTCATCAAATCGAGTCCTATCTTAATCTTCATTCAGTTTATATGCAAAACTTTATAAAACTGATTCTTTTTTTCACCTGATGGTAAGCAATCGCCAACGCCCATGGACACCCGAAACACCAGAGGTGTTACAAGTGCGTTACCGGCCTTTTGGGAATTACAAATTTGAGAATTATTGGGGAGATTGGGGAGGGGGGTAAATGGGCCTCCGATAACCACTCACACGACGAAACACAACGCAAGCATTGTTTCACGTCGGTTTTCTGTGAGGCCGTGGTATACTCTGTGAAGCATGACTGTCCCACACTTATATTGATACTCTTAAAAACACAACGTTTTTCAATCATTGACGTTGCTTTTATAATATCCTTAATTAATATAGACTTAACGACTATACAAATAATTTACGATTCTATAAATTACTTCCCCCTTAATACAATTACAATTAAACCCGGTGACAATAATAAATAAAGAAAGAAAAAAAAAGCAGTTGGAAAGTCCACAGTCATTATTCTATCGTGTAATTGTTAAATATAATTAAAAGAGCGATCTTAACTATAACAGTAATAGTTTACTATATTATGTCCCATGTCGTTAACCACGCGGTATTCTATCTACTACATGATCAAGTTTAATTAATATATTTTATGTATTTCCGTTTGTTTGTTATTATTTATTACTATTAACTAAGTAAAAGTATTTTATTTATTGATTATGTTTAAATTCATTTTAGAATAAAGGCGAGTCTATGTCATGCAGGGCATAATTTCAATGACCATATTAATGCCTAGTCTCTTAAATAAAATGCTTATGAACCCCACCATCAAACCAAAGATTGTGTCATGTCATAGTTAGAACATGACCAACAAGGATCATGTAATGGTTGAAAAACCTTGCCTAACCGATATAATTCATTTATAAACTAAGTTTAAAGAAACAGAGTTCAACCCCCTCTTTTTTGTAGTCGGTTAATTAATATACTTAAACCTTCTCCTATGTGAAACAAACAGTGAAATCTACAATAAAAATCGGTTCAGCTAATCGCGAAATATGCGCACACACAGGTCAAACTGCGAACCTCTTTTTTTAAAGCCTGTTAAAAACAATGATGTTGTCAAATCAATCGCAAAAAAAGTCGCAAAAATATCAATACCTTCCAAACTTTGTCACCTGACTGTACTTAACACATAATTACGGCGCGCGCGCCGAATACCTCGTTTGGGTGCGCACACGCATTGTGCCCGGATTTTCTTTCTCTTTTTATATAATTCCCCATTTTTAAAATGTATAGGAAGTCGTATATTGCCTGATACTTTAGTTATATTCGGAACTAATTTGGTATAAAACTTTTATATGTATTGGTATATCCAACAGCTATATGTCACTGACAATATATTTTATTATATCTATTTATACGATTTTAGAATTCTCGGCCCCGGAAGTCATTTTTTATTTCGCTTCGCTTTTTTCTTTTTTCATTTCTCTGATTCGAAACTGTTGTGGTGTCTTCTAATTAATGGAGAAGGTGGACATCGTTCTGATGTCATAAAATTTTTGGAATGTCTTTTATTGCCGACATCTTGACGTCACATCTGTCATTAACCAATCATTGGTAGACAGCATACAATTTTCAAATCTATGTTTCAACTCGCTCTGCTATTTATCTATCTAGATCTCATTTGGGGAAGCCTATGTCTCTATAAGACGTCCAGTACTCTTACTGGACCTCTTGTATTTGGAGTAAAGTATTTCATCTTAGGGCTTGGACAAGTATCCAGTCAAAATATACTTTAAATTTTAACTAAGATAGGTGACACTTAACGGCATTCTGGTTTTCACTAAACTATAAGTGACTCTTGAAGATAAAGGTAAGGTCCTCCTTCCCGCTAAATAATTCTTAGTTAAGCGATGGTTTAAAGGTTCGTGACAACGGCCACAACTTCTTTAACTTCCAAAATACGATGAAGTGAATTTAAAGCATTATCAAAAGAATTTATGAAATCACTTCAAAGACACTAACTTACTCAATGTCAATGTCATTTCTAAGTATCACTGACACTGAACATTTGTCTCGACACCTTTACCTAACAGAATTATAAAATAAGACAGAACCTACCATAATCTTCTGAGAATTTACGCCAAGAGCAGTAGCTAATTGACTAAAATTATTACATTATGACTTAGTTCATAAAAACCTAGATTAGATAAACATTTTTAGTCTTAACTCAGCGGCAACCTTAGAAGATGAGTTATGACCTTCTTATCGTCGCAGTCATTCGTAAAGACTTAAATTTTGCGTCTATTTTTGGGAAATCACGAATACGGTCATCATCTTTTCTTTGTGTACAGTTAGATTCATCTCAGACGACATTATGACTAATTTGTTTGTTTAAAACTCCACTTTAAGATTGTTTGGTTTAGATTTCAAACTGCTTAAACCGTTTAATCTGTGAGTAATCTCTTTAGACTTTACTTATTTGTAGAAGAATTAGCGGATTGACAGGAAGAATTCATAGAATCCACGCTGTAGTAATTCGTCTTGATGAGATCTGGTTTATTCCGGTTTGGGGAACGAAATACCAGTTTTATCATTTGCTAGTATAGTTCTTTTAATCCCTGGGATCACATAATCACATTTTCTGTCGTCCTTAGACAGTTTTGGGTGCCCTACAGAGTGTAGGTTAGCGAATTCGTGTGACTTTCTATCATACTTTTGATGTGTTAGGGTAGAGAGACTCATACATACATTTACAGACACTTGTGCACCATAAACCAGACATCACCAGGGGCGTGCACAGAGATTTGAAGTAGGGTAGGCAGAAGGTATCACATGATTAAAAAAAATTTGGTCTACATTAATCTCGGAAAATAAAACTCCCGAAACATCATAATTGTAAGTAATTAGGTTTAGTAAGTATTTTATTAATTTGTATAAACAAATTAGGTACATAATTATTTTCAAACTATCCGTGTATAAAGTTGATCAACATAGATACCTAGGTACCTATCTATTTTACAAATCTATTAACTAGTTACCTACTTTGGAGCGGCGAAGTACAAATGGTTACACATCAAGCTATGCGACACCAGTATAAACTGACCGTTAAATGCATAGAAAAATCGTACAAAGCGAGATCAAGATGACTGGATTTTAAAAACATTAATGAAATTGGTACACAACCAGTGCTAACAAAACAAACTATACCTATAATCGCAAATCGTAGTTTATTAAAAGAAATAATAAAATTATTACCTTTTTTGAGTTACGCCTAGCCCGGACATACGACACACGCAAAATCGCCTTTGGAAATATTTTCGTTTCTTCTTCGAACGACAATAAGGACAACGCACTCATTTTTAATTTATTGAACAACACAAATTACCAGCACAGAGCTCACAGCTATAATTTTACATAATTTTCGGTAAATTAACAGTTCATTTAAATAATAATTCATTACATTACAATTTATTCACTTGCACATAAAAACATAACCAAAACAAAATGGCCAAAAAAAACGTAAACAATAAGTTGACCAAAATTAATATATCTATTTTCAATCAACAAACGCTACGTTTTGTTGACTTCTTAAATTAGTCGGATAACGAAGAAGCAGTGCTTTTGCAGTTGTATAGAAATTACCAACCTAACAAAAAAAAAATCCAACATCAGCACGAGAAAACAAGCAAATTGTACCGGCTACGCATTAGTACATGCTTCTGCCACCATCACACAATAGCGAGGTGGCGGCGCCACTGGCGCAATGCTTCAATATATCGAAGAAAGTAGAAAGTGGTTGTAGTACTTCAATATTTTTTCGATAGATGGCGTTAGTGACCAGATTTTCAAATTAAGTATCAATAAAATTACGAAATCTCTGTATGATGTCAGTAAATATTCATGTCGTGTTTATGAGTGACACTATGTATTTGACTATGTAGGTTTACCATGATTTTGTAGGGTATGCAGTGCTTATTTGCATGTATGGTGTGCACGCCACTGGACATCACCACACGGTCCACCACTAGAACTACAAATATTATTTCGTCTACTTCTTAGACCACCTAAACTGTCTAAAGTTCGATGTCGAGTATAAAAAAATAAACCAATAAAACAATCACCGAATCATTAAAAAAAAAAAAAATTTAAAATCAGTATTCTCTCCGTAATGACGAAGCTACTCGGCATCGTTCGTGTCGGATCGGCTGCGCCCGCGCACGCCGGAAACGCCGCGTCTATTTCCAACCGGACGCACACTGTTTATTGTCGTCTGTCTGTGTGTCGTTAACACCTAAACTAGTTATTAACATATCGATCCCACTACAACTGTTGCTGAATGGGTTTTAGTATGGTTAGAAAAAAAATAATCATTGGTTTTTATTGGTTGACGAATTTTATGGGATTGTTAATTTTAATCGAAAGAGGTGCGTGACAATTTGAGCCTAAAGTTTGATAAGAAGAGAACCGGCTTTAACGTATAAAACTATATAAAAACTCGAGACCAATAGACCGAATGATTTTGCGAAAAAAGTGGGGATAATCCCTTTAAGAATATGAAAGGTAGAAATCCCAATACTACTGACCTGAAAAGGGCTCTAAGCTAGCCAGCACCAAACATTGTCGTAACCCCCAATGCTATTATTTTCCAGATCGCTAGAGAAAGGCAGTAGCAGTTCTTCAAGCGACAAACCTTCAGACAGTTCAGCCAATTCGAATAGCAAGGAACAAAATAAGAAGCCACATATAAAGAAACCCTTAAATGCTTTCATGCTTTACATGAAAGAAATGAGGGCAAAAGTAGTGGCTGAATGTACACTTAAAGAGTCAGCAGCCATCAATCAAATCCTTGGCCGACGGGTGAGTTCAAACTTTCCACATTTAACATAAAAAAAACCGTTAATAATTCGAATATTCTTTTTTATAAAAATTCAAAATTTTGTCGTTAAATTCCAGTTCGAAGTTCGCTTTGCAATTCTAAAATCAGATACTAAAAGTTTAAATGATTCTTTATTTGAATTAATTTTGTTTTTATTTTCTTTTTTGTTTTTTAATTTCGACCAGTACCAGGTTTATGTTGACGTTACTTCAGTCCCGATGTAGTATTCTGTCGGATGGGGTTTAATATCCGTTTTACTGAATTTACTGTGCCTCAGTTTATGACCAAGTTACGAGAAACTATTCATTTATAGCATTTACAGTAACATTGTCAATAACACGAGTCTTCGACCTATCTCTAAACGATCCAAGCTCATTGAATCAGTCGTGACATCAATACCAGTGTCTACATAAAGATTTATTTAGCAGTGCTAAGCATCTTGCATCACGACTGTCAATCAATCCGATCTTAACTCGTTAATTAATCAATTAATTATGTATTTAACCGGCACTTGTAAAGCAACGTCTAACAGTAGAATACATCGGGATTGTAGACATTGCTTACATGACGTCATCGAGCTGTAATTGAAAGAGGTTTAGCTAATCAGAGGTTAAATGGATGTCAACAACCTCGTTTTAGTAAGAGACGAAGTTCGCTAATGTGATGTAAGCAATAACATCGATTGTGTCCGCATTCAATATCAATGTTTGGCTCTGCATAATATTGCACGGGCCTTTGTTAATCTTGTTAGGAATACGATTCGTCACCGCGCGTCCAGCCTCGCGCCGCGCGAGACAATGCGGCCCCCTATCTCATATCTAATAGATGCATTGAATAATAACTAGCCTGTAACATTACGAGAACCGAACCCGCTCACCGTAGCCCCGGAACGCGATCTCATTCCTAACAAGAGTAACAATGTATTTACAAAAACTGAGTCGAGCCACATGTCGGCGACTGGTAACCCAATATCCTGGTGTCATAATACGCAGTGGCATTCGTTGAGCCGCGAGGAACAAGCAAAGTACTATGAGAAAGCGAGACAAGAGCGACAGCTCCATATGCAGCTGTACCCCGGGTGGAGCGCCAGGGACAACTACGGTTACGGCTCCAAAAAGAAAAAGCGGAAAAAGGACCGCAGTCCCGCAGAGCTGGGAGGTACTGGAGCTAGCAGCGACGTCACGGGGCTCTTGTCACACGGACGCTTGAACACTGCTTACCCTCCCTGACGAGTCCCGCACCCCCACTAACACAGGAGACTTGCTTGTTGTCCGGTGGCCTCACGTGTTAACCGACGGCTTGCCCCCACACTAACGTCGCATCCGTAACCCGCCCCGTCCCGTGTGTGTGTGTGCGTGCCTGTATGTGAGCGGTAGTGTCTGCGGCCGCTGTGCTAGAGGACGGCTGGCCGTCGTCTACGTGTTACGTGTTCTGTGTACTGTAGTCGTCCAGTGAACGTACTGTGCGCCCACCCCCGACCGGAAACTATATTGGTTTGTTATATGTCTAGTCGAGACGCGTGAACCGACCGCAGAATAGGTTCTGGGAGGAACATCACAATTGGCCATTCTCATTCTGTAGGGGACAAAATTGTGCGATTAGGTCGCCGGTCGCCGGTCGCTAGCACGTGCCCAGGTCGCGTCCACCGTCACAGTGCATTTCTCTGTTTTCTTTCCATATTCGGCGCGTTCACGATACAGTGGCATGCGCTCGGCCGCGAGGAGCAAGCCAAGTATTACGAGCTGGCGCGCCGAGAGCGGCAGCTGCACATGCAACTCTATCCCGATTGGTCGTCTAGGGCTAATACGCAAAGGGGCAAGAAGAGGAAACGAAAACAGGAGACAACCGATGGAGGTACTGCCTTTCACTCCGTCGACGAGCGTCCCTCCCCATCCCACCCTGTCCTTGTCAGTCCCAACAGTCCATTCCCATCCCGCGTCGTGATTCAGCTGGACAGCTCAGCTTTGGCGTGATGTCGTAAGTCGGTCACGAAGCGGACACATGTCCCGGAGCGCCGAACGTCTCGTTTGAATGCGATACTCGCATCGGCTCATTAAAAAAATGAGGTCAATTAACGAAGGATTAAGTCCGGAGACGTTGGCAGCTCACTCCTGCCCCTCCCCGTCCCCCGCGAACATCGCTGCCCCAATCCTCTCCCGCGAGAGTTCAATTGCTTTGAACTCCGCTCCGAACGGACCGAGCGACATAGTAACACAGTCTTGGTTGAAGGGGTACGAGGTTGTAGACATACAATATATTATATATACAAGTATTTTTGTTTATTTAATATTTATCGCATTTATTTATTTGATTTAAAACGCTATATTAAGAGAGAGATCGTCACGCAAGTCCTTCGAAGGTTGTCCCGGTTTGAAGCTTCCGTTTTGCTCCGAGTGCGAGAGGGAGCGTGCATGTTCAACGCAAGCAAGTCAATATTTGAGTACTTGAGTAATTGCTTTGCAGGGAGAGTAGTTTGATGTCGGACGAGGCTGGGACAGCCTTCTCTCGGTACCACAGACTAGTGTGGACATGTGGAGCCACGTCCACGCGCGGATACACCGAGGACTAGATACACGGCTGCTGATGCTTATGTGTCTGCGGTGCAATGATACTGGCCAAATAAATTCACAAATATTTATTTTGATTCCGGAGAACCTATTCTGCTTCAATTTGCTTATAGACGTCATGTTTATTTGTTTTTGTTCGTCAATAGCGTAGTTTTTAGCATTTATTTTGTTCAAAGTTTATGCGTGTAGTTTATTTTAAAACCAATGTTTTTTCCGTTGTTCCCGTTCATTTCTCCCATCCCGCCTTGCATGGACTAACACTGAGGGATGCATGCTGTGCTTGTAGACTAGTTGTACTTACGTAGTAGCTGTCATGTCTTTAAACGCTTCGAATATGATTTCCAGTAAATTAATTACCCTTGATTTGATCATTGCCTTTGGTAACGCATTTCTTTTTATTTGAACGATGACAAATAATTTACTCGACATCATATTATTTTGTGATCTTTTGCGATGTTTGATTAGTATTGTTTTGCTTAAATTTCGATTGGTTGAGTGGTACGAGTGATTATAGTTTTAGACACTCTAGAATGTGTACTAACACGTGTTTTTGTAAAACTTTCAGGAAACAATTTGAAGAAGTGTCGAGCGAGATACGGTCTCGACCAACAAAGTCAATGGTGCAAGCCTTGCAGGTCGGTATTGACTTTATCTTTTTATTTTTTCTTTTCGCTTGTGCAAAAACTAAGTGTTGATTAGCTGACGGTACTTAGAGTACGGTCAGTTAATTCATTGTTTCTCTGTGGAAAGACTTGGCTGGCTTAACTGACACGCCAAGAGTAGCCCGGTCACTTTACTTTGGCAATTATATTTTAAGAAAAATCTATTAAGATATCTAAAAAAAGATCTATGTAGTAGTTTTGTTTTATTATTATTTTTATGTTTTACTACAATATAGTATATAAATTAAGGATTATATACGGCGAAGGAGCTTATTCAGAAAATGTGTCTTTTCACAAAGAAATAAGAAATGTTTAGATAAAATGAATAGATTTTTTTGAAAGTAGCCGAAGGTGGACGTAGTATAGGGAATGTGAAGGCGGCGAGGGAGGAAGGGCAATCATTTGTCGAAAGCTTTCAAAAAAATCTGGACACATTTTCTGAATCGGCTCGCTTCTTATAAATATGCGTTGTAAGGTTCATGTTTACTTATCAAAATGTTTTTTCCACTCATGATTGCCGCTTCTCATGGACCCTGGACCTGCTGGCACTATTGGTGACTCGTTTATTGATCATTTTTAACAATATTTTTCGTTCACTTTATTATTTTTTCAATTTTTTATTTCGATTTTTTACCACACGCCACTTGACTCGATGTTTTTTGTTTGTATTTATTTACTGCTATTTTTTTCGCTTTATTGTTCCTACAATTAATATTTTTAATAACTATTATATTTCCTTCATAAAATCCCTCGACCCTCATCAATCCTCTCGAACACTAAATATCATCAAACCTCCCTGGCACCTTCATAAATTTTTCCTGTATCATTGCTGGGCACAGCCCCGAGTCAAGTAGCGTGATGGTCTCCGGAGGGCTGGGCCTCCTCCGGCCGGAGCCGGCGACCTCACTCCCGGCCTCCAGCCTGGTGAGCCCTCAAGAGCCTACCTACGTAAACCTCTAGTGCCGGCCTCACCCCGCCGACGGCCACTCAACGGTTGGTGCAGAGTTGAAAGAATCTGAGTGTTGTAGTATACAGAATTAGATTGATTTTTTATTAAATATGGCTCAAAAATATCTTTAAAATACGTTATTGGTCCGTTCGCATACGAAACGCCCTATTTCATTGACACATTGCTGTCCAGCCTAGCGGACCAGCCACAACTGTAGAGACTACAGAGGTACACAAAACCAAACACTATGGTGCTTTTGGTCGCCCACAACTTTTCAGTTGCGCCACCAAGTTGACACCAGGTGGCTGTCCAAAACTGCGGTGTCTTAATGAAATAGGGCTTTAAACGTATCGTTTACGTGTGTCAAACAAAAGTAAACATACATGTTCAAAGAAGTCCGAACACGTGACGTATCGTCAAACACGTTATTAGTCGTAACGACACGTGTACGAGTACGCCGGCGTATGCGAGCGGGCTTGCGTTCTAAACATGTTTGCATTAGATGATTTTAATTTTAAAGATGAAGCCTGAATGTTTTTTCCTAAAAGGAATGAAGTGTTATATGTTGTCGTAGGTAGATTTTGCTTTGGACCTAGGTATGATGCTTGGGTAGCGTTGGCTGGAGTCAAAAGTGTAGGTAGTGAGTGATTGACTGAGAACAAAATTGTATTGAACGAGTACCCCATAATTACTAATAGTTAAAATGGAAATCAAGCCAACCTTGTTGATCTATGACTAACATTTCCTACAAAGATCTTTAGTGTATATTCTTTTGGTGACTTATGCCAGTTTTCGATTATTAAAAAAATCATTATTTTCTATAGTTTTTACAACGTAAATTCTTCCGAAATCAACGAAACATTTAGAACATTTTGGTGAAATGAAATGAATAAATGATCTAAAAGTTCATTAGTTAGTGTTATTTCAGTGAACGCTACCCAAAGCCTATGTACCTAGGTTCTCGTGTACCAGTTGTATACTGAAAATATTTAACAAGTTTCAGCATGGGTGTTCAATGTTACTCGCGTGGTTTTATTTTTCAGTTTATTTAACCTGTTTTCAGCATGTTTCAGTTAACATTGTGATTATGATTTCTGTGTTATTTGTCCAGTAGGGTAGTTTAGCTTTTATTTTGCGCAGGATTGTTTCGTGACCGTTATAGAATCACTTAAAATTTGAAACATTCTAAAGCAGAATTTTGAATGAATCTGACATAACGTTTTCGAAACAGCCTTATAGTTTTGCTCACACATTTTTGACTATCTATTAAATGTATTTTTTTTATAGGCGGAAGAAGAAGTGCGTACGCTACATGGAAGCCCTAGCGGCCGCGTCGGGGACGGTGCCGATGCCGATGGCGACACCCCAGTCGCCTTGCTCTGAGGAGGACGTGAAGCTGGAGGAGATGTCGGACGCGTCGAGCGATGGTGATGCTGATACGCCGCTGAACTCGGCGTCCAGCCCGGGTGCGCTTTCCGCGCTGTCTTCGCTGGCGTCGCCCGCGTCGGAGCCCGCGCCCGCGCCGCGCCACCCGGTCGGCACCAACCCGCGCGACGCCAACAACCCGCTGTCCGTGGGCCAGCTGACGTCACAGAGCTGGCCGCGCGCCGCGCCGCGCCCCGGCCACGAGGTCATCTCGGTGTCATAGTGCCGGTACCCTGTCTGCCCGCCAGCCGACGGACGCTCGCGCTCGGCTCCGGGCAGCACAGACACACGCAGTGCAGTGCAAACTATCCGTTCTCTGCTCCGCTCGATGATCTTGTCTACTGAACTTATACCGGCGGACTACAGAGCGGCTAGTTTACATCGGACGAGTGGCGACATCTATCGAACAGTGCGTGAGACGTTTATCGCCATCTAGCGGCCGCGGCGTGAATTGAGTCGTGTCGGTTGTGATATGAACATTACGATAAGAACCGATTGTTACTGCTGTTCTCAATAACAAATGTTTGGAGGAACCCGTAATGACTAACCTACCTCTGTTCGGCTTATTGACGAGTGTTGAGTCATGGGACTGCCGGCACTTTCGTGAACTATAGCGGATTAATAATATATTATATAACCTAAAGCATACAGTTTCATGTAATATTTAAAAGGGCCTAATGTGTAACTATTAATATAACTGCACCAAGTGCTCGGTGGTCCTGTGGCTCGGAGTCGTGCAACTATAGAGTGGCTGGTTCTACAGTAACGTACTATAAGTAGTCCATTCTTCAGTCGAAGTGATCTCAAAATTGTGAGCCCGAGTCAAGTCATTATAGTGCATTCGCGCCTTGTTGACCAAGTGCTTGCTCACAGTCACATGACAATGTGCCATGTTTCGATTTCAATAACTTTCTGACATTTTCCTTCAGGAATTTATACTTGTCAATTTCTACAATTTTCTCTACTGTTTAAATGAGAGTTAAGAATTAAATGCCTATCGTTCACAACTCAACTTCAGTCATTACTTTATTTTTAACGTTTTCCTCAATTATATTTTCCATCAAATTTTCATTTTAATTTGACAAGTTTTCTTTCCATATAAACGTTATTACTTGGTCAATAAAGGCGAGATTCCCTTACCAACTTTACCATGAATAGTCAGCAATACTTTTAGTAACTTTTTATTATAAACTTTTGATTTTAAACACCTATAACTAATCAAGTTCTCTACTAAAGTTTAAAAACTACACTACTGTTTAAAAAAATGACAATTTATATCTATTTAAACATCGAAACAATGCATGCACGATATTTTTCATTAATTAATATTGTGTCAAAGAATTTTCGCATATCCAGCTCTCTTGTTACGGACTATTTTTGTTTAACAGGCCTCTCTTGCTTGACGATTGGGCATTCGCCTAACGTGGATCATTGTTGATCGGACCTAATTTTTTAATTTGAATACAGAAACATACTTAGCATACGTTATGTTGAAAAAAATCTTGTTTTTCGTACTTTGAATGGAATAGAGCTATCTGATTCGTACTTTTTTTATTATTCAGATGGTTTTAATCAGTGTAAAGTGCTGAGAGAATTAATTTTGTATGTTTTTTGTATGTTTCTGTATGGGGAGTGGTTGTAAAATGCTTACTCGTCACTTGCGACTAAGGCCTGATGTTCTAATAACTTTCCCATGGCCTGCACCAGATGACGGTTCCATGTAGCGTTATAGATTTTTGAATTTAGTTATTAATGTTTTCCCTTCGCGGTATGCGTGTATAAAGTTACTGTTAAGGCGAACGGAGGGAAAATTGTTTTTCCGTTGTACGGAACTTGTTAGACTGTCGTAGATTAGACTAGGCACGTTGTATGAGTGAAGTTTATTATAAGGTGTTGTGCCGAGTGCCCTTTGCGCAATATATTAGAGATATATTTAAATATACACGTAAGTAATTTATAAAAATGGAGTTAAAAGACACGTCGTTGGTTGTAACGTATACTAAATGTGTCTTCGTTAGTGAATTTGATATGTATTGTGTTGTTTAATAATGGAATTATGACTATAAAGATAACATGTTAAATGTATTGATTTACAATACTTCGTTTCGCAAGATTTTTAAGCTAATTATCAACTTTGGTGCGAAATAGGGTCTCCTAGTACAATTTTATAACAACGCCATCTATCTTGCGCTAAATGCACTACAAGTTACAATTATACCCGCAAGGTGGCCGACGAAAGTAACCATGTCGAATGGCATATCGGGACAACACCACTCTGTATATGTGTAAGTACATACATGATGTAAAAATATAGCTATAATCTAACTGTGTCATATTAGAATATAAGTGTACTATGCTACTTACATATGTATACATTTATTATTATATAAAAAGAAGTTTAAAAGAAAAATATTAGTTAAATACTGACTCGAAACTGAAAAAATGTTTGGTACATACGAAGACACAAGATATTTTATAATTGGCAACCCCCTAGGAGTCAAATTTGTAAATAAATTTGTAATTCACGAATATATAGGACATTTTGGTATAAAGATATTGCATTTATATTATTATTAAAGCGATTAGTGCCCTCGGAATGTTCTCGGATGGTTTGTTTTGTCCATCAAATGATTTTTGTTAATTACTTTTTATTGTTATTATTAAGAATTTTAACGTTGTTACTTGAAATACCAACCCCACACTGATTTATAAATTACATTTGGTGATTATTGATTGATTTTTTTTATCGGATCAGCTGACCTAAAGCGATACAACTTATATCAATTCACAATATTTTACTTGCGAAGACATCAGGTTTTTATACTTTGACCAAAAGATGAACATTAAAATTGTAAAATCGATAATTTTAAAGATTTGCATGAAATCCGAATTTGTGCAATATTAAATGAAAATGGGTACTGTATAGTTTTCTAAATGTATAATTAGATTTTCTTAAAATTAATTAATAAGGTCTATTTTTGAGTTTTATAGAGAATGATGGATTTGATTTTTTTTTAATACTTTATTATTATTTCGGAAAAAAGTATGCGATGGAAGTTTTTATTTTTAATACTTGATGATTTTTATTCCGTGCCAAAACCATCTAGGACTATTAATTGCCAGGGAAATTCGACCAGTTAAGAAGTAATGATATCATTATGTCTGTGCCAAATTATGTTTGAAACCACTGCAGGTATTTTGTATACCTTCGCGTCTTTATGTTGATAGATTTTATAGGTTGTTTTTTATTGTTAAGAGGGTAAAGACAGTTGGCTGTAATGCCAGTTATTTTTTTTTGTAGTAAAAATTTGACAAATTAGTAAACTCATTCATTAGGTCTGTTCCCATGTCTTGTGTTCAGTTGAACGAATATTATTTTAATAAACAACTTAAAAATTGTATTTTGATGTTTTATTTTCCTACCTCTTCGTAGAATGTCATTAATTCGTATACCAATATACTTCAGCAAGTGGTATTTGCTTTTGTGTTACTTTATAGAAAATGATTTCAATAAGTATTTAAAAACTGCTTCGTTGGCCGAGTGGTCGCAAGTGCGACTGCCGGGCAAGGGGTCTCGGGTTCGATTCCCGGGTCGAGCAAAGTATTACTGGGTTTTTAAAAAATTCTCAGTAGTGGCACGGAGTCTGGAAATGTACCCGGTATATGGCAATAGGTTCACCCCTATTACGTGGGACTCATAACATTAATAGTGAAAAGTGGGTTGTTACTGCTGTGTGCACCTCTGCCTACCCCTTCGGGGATAAAAGGCGTGATGCTATGTATGTATTTAAAATTACACAAAATCACTTAAATACTTCATGCTTTGAGGTACCAGTTCATAAAAAAGTAGGTTTAAAAAAGTAAGTAGAAAAACATTCTCGAATCAATAAAATGAAATGAATAGACACATATACATATTACATACCTACGTCATATTGCCTTCGAGGTACCAGGAGTTCACACTAGGAGATTTAAAAAAGTGCGTAGGAGGTTATTCTTGAATGACATTTATAATTTAAATTTAAAGGTCTACCTATGAAATTACCGTTTAGCAATCGTTGCATCTTTGCCCACGCAGTGGCAGTCTATTTGATGCCCTTCAGCTGAAATCAGAATATTCACAAATTCTTCAGATATCGGATGGACGGGATTGTTCAAAGGAATTTTGTTCCCGCCAAGAATTTAAACAAATTCTGGAAAAAGTAGTACTTAGCCTGTGGGCGCAAGGTCTGGTGAGTAGGGCAGATGACGGAGAGCTTCTAGGCCCAGTATTTGCAACTTTGAGACCATCGTGTCATTGTGTTGTCATGCAGGAGCATCGGAGGCAAGCGATTGACCAATGTTGGTTGGAGACGTGCCGATGTGCCAGCTTCTCCACCACAGTGTTCAGTTCTTCACAGCACACATCTGCAATAAAGCTCACCCCAGTTTCTTACCCGTTGGTAAGAAGCTGTGATGAATCACACCGGCGCTAAACCACCAAACAGTGACCATTACTTTTCTAGGGCAAGTTTTAGTTTAGGGCATTGTTTACGTGCTGAACCGGGATACAAAATTTTAGGTTAGGTAAGTACACTATTTCAATTAAACTGTCAAACACCAACCACCAACTGTGTTTGACAGTTTAAAGGATGCTATGCTATGATTTAGCATGCACGTTATTTATTGACTACTAGCGACCCGCCCCGGCTTCGCACGGGTGCAATATCTATTATACATACAAACCTTCCTTAAGAATCACTCTATCTATTAAAAAAAACCGCATCAAAATCCGTTGCGTAGTTTTAAAGATCTAAGCATACATACGGACATACAGCGAAAGCGACTTTGTTTTATATGTACTATGTATTGAAGTCAATAACATCAAAATTAAAATATGTCATCGAGATAGAGGACAACTTGTAATGGTGGTAAAAAAACAAAAAACTAATATTAAGAAACAGTACTACAACAAGTTGCTTACATAAGAAAAAATTGTCAATTGTCATATATGTTCGAGTTTCGGGCACACACGGTGAGAGCCGTAAGAACGTGTATATGAGTTTCCGGCACATGAAAAGGGCAAACATTAAACGCAATAGTGCGTGCGAGGCACTGTAGTTATGTCTTTTAATTCGGGCACTGGAAAAATCCACTGGGCTGTGAATGCGTTAAAGAATTTTTAAGCTTTCAGCTTTAAAATAAAAACGGAATATCAACAGTCCAAAATCAAATCCCTCAACCGCCTCCGGTACCTGGAAAGAGACTCGCAGATGTCTAACTCCGATGTCTTTGATACCATGTTGCACTGCCTACAGAGCTTTGGCATAGCCGCGTAATGGTTCTTGATCAAAAAAAAAAGTTAATAAACACTGGTTTAAATGAAAAAGACAGACAACCTTCGCATTAACAGTACCTACTATAAAACAAATAATCTAAAATCCACACACATACGCCGAGTAGGTACTCACACTGGAACGATTTAAGGAACATTTGTCATTCAGACGACAATAGAAAACAATCACCTTTAAATTGAAATTTACTAACATTTTAGCCTTACTAACATTAAATCATGATTGATGTGTTTGCGCGGAATATATTGAACTGTCAAACACCAAGCGGTCACCGGTGACCGCAACCTATTGTTCTATAATTGTGTCTACAAAATCGGTACTCGACGAGTTAACTATAATATGCTTAAGAACTCTCGTAGGCATATCAATATTTAAGCAGCCTAACAGTTCACTACAATCTATCGCTTCACTAAATATTTTGTGAAGGATAACAAAGGCCACCTTCTTCCTTCTACTCGCAAGTAATTCCATTTGGTAATGTTTTAGCCTATCCCCGTAACTAGAAAACCTTCCGGCCAAGCCATCTCTGTAACATCAAATCATAAAGTAGCCTCCTCTGGACGCTGCCCAAGCGTTTGATATACTTATATGTCGTACTTAATGAGGGTTCCACGCCACCGAACCATATTCTAAGATTGGACCTTGGTCGGACCAAGGTATTAAAAAGTTTTATTTTTGTACTGGGTTTATTTAATTATCTGTTATTTCTCAATACAAATCCCAGCATCTTAAACGACTTTGAAACTATATCCAGTATGTGAGCATCAAACTTAAGAACCCGATCAAGTAGAACACCTAAATCGCGGATTATATGTAAAACTATATAATTCTACTCCTTCGATATTATATTTCATAATTAGGTACTCGAATTTTTAACGTATTCATGAAAAAGATGTCAATGCGATGAGAATGTAACAATACGAATGACTACCTACGCCTGGAAAAACATTCCATGCTTTTAAAATAAAATTAATTTGAAATTAGAATTTATTTTATTTATTTTTATTTTTAGCCATAGTCGTCCCACTGCAGGGCAATGGCCTTCCTACCCTCCTTCCACTCTTATTTTTACTATAATAATTCTTAGCCTAACAAAAAATATTTTGATTTGAATTGGTCAGTACTGCAGAGCGGCAATTTCATAGGTAAAGGCTTACTACTACGATTACTTTTCTCTTTTACTCTTCCTGCTCTGTCCTATTCTGGCACACGTTCGTTAAATTGTCATTCAAGTCATTTAAGAATGGGATTAACTATTATGACCACTAGAAAATACTTTGATAACCTCTTCAGTTGTCGTGGAGAACCTAACGGGTTACCGGGGCTCCGGCTCGACGTGCAGGAGAAGGAACGGCGTGGTTTTTAGTCAGTAAGAGCCTGACACTCCCTCCCACCTCACCCAGACAGGAGCAGTCATTCGATGATTTTCCCCCCTTAAAAAAAACCCTCTTCAGTTCTCTCAGTTCTTTTAACCAAAACATTATACTTAACACCAAAAATGTAGTAAATGATCACCAATGTAGTAAATGGTCACCTTTGTGGCACTCTGACATGGTAGGCGGATAGGTCAGAATGGTATGACGGAAGCTACAGTGAGCGAGCGAACTAATAGCTATCGTCATGCCATTCGTTAGGTTACTTCAAATCCCTTGGTCAGAAGTAGGAGCCCTGTTTAGCGAGGCACCGTCACCTTAACCTATTTTATTATTACTGCGGTTCTAATTTTGGTGGTGATTAACTATTATTGGGTCAACTTGGATTTGTTTGGATATCATTTGTTCTAATAGGATAGCTAGATGTAAACATTATGGTTACAGTTTTAAATTACTGCCTCGTTGGCCGAGAGGTCACAAGTGCGACTGCCGGGCAAGGAATTCGATTCCCGGGTTCGATTCCCGGGTCGGCCAAATTATTACTGGGTTTTCAAAAAAATCTCAGTAGTAGCACGTAGTCTAGAAATGTGCCCGGTATATGGCAATAGGCTCACCCCCTATTACATGGGACTCATAACATAAATAGTGAAAAGTAGATGTTACTTCTGTGTGCACCTCTGCCTATCCCTTCGGGGATAAAAGGCGTGATGTTATGGTATGTTTTAAATTAAAATAGGGTTTAAATTCTGGTGATCATTTACTGTTTCTGCCTGTTATATGTTACTATGTATATCAGGTGATACGTTAAACATAAGTCCATTTCCTACCACTTTTTAATAGACCTCTAACGAAGTCCTGGTACTTCAGAATAAATATAATGTAATTTTGCACTTTAGTGGAACTGTGTTGAAGTACCTAATTATTTTTTCGTGGAATAAGTACTTTTTGTTAATATAACAAGTAAATTGTCTTCTTTTTTAACGTAACTTTGATAAAGTTTCAATAAATAATTCTCAATGTTTTAAATTTAATATGACCTTATTCCACATGAAAGGGATTTGTTGCAATCCACACATTTAGGTAGAAGATTGTAATTCAAAAGTTCTTCATGTTTCTGAGTACCCCTGTTTTTAGACAGTGTGATTAAGCATACTAGATATTGTTTCAGGTTACGAATGAAACACAGGACATGAGATTACATTGTTTATTCGTGACAATGCATAATAGAGAATATACATTCAGAAATAATGTAAAACGCTATAAAAATTGTGACGCCATTGCAAGACTAGTTCTTTCCGGAGAGATAAATGAATTTAAGGTTTTTGTACTGCGATTATTTGATAGTTTGGCCCCTATAATGACCAATTATATTTCAGTTATATGAAGCTAAAACGTATTGAAGACGAACGGTTAATTAGATTTTTTCAAAAGGGACAAAATAAACCATGTTTTTGGTATGTTTTAGAAAGTAAGTAGGATAAAAATGCAATTAACATTTTTCAAATTCTACAGTTATAAGTTGCGACACTGCTGTTTCGTCTTCAATACTTAACAAAAATGCTAGGCGACAGTACATTGGTGACAAATCGTTATAAAAGTGTTTTATAAAACAATCATACCTAAAAACTAACGATCCTTTATGAATCTTAAGATACATTACGGAATTGAGACACATAGACACTATTTAAACAAGCATAAATTTAATTTCAAAATCTCAAGATAGATGGCAGTGTTGTTTAATTTGTGATGTCGAGAAAATATTATTACATTATTTTAGCAATATTCATAGCTGTTTAAATCGACATTGTTTTTGAACAGGACCTTTTACAAGATCAAGAACTATAGAATTTTAAATCAAAATATACATTTAATAGTATCTATGCATCTCAACGTTTACATCACAAAAGCACAACATACAGCTGCGATACATTCGCTCTTCACCTACTTACATAAAAATGACAGTTATGTGTTTTAACTAATCAACGACAGCAAGTTTAGGAGTTTAAAAGTTCTTAGAAATATTTTTAAAACTAAATGTATTACTGGTGGTAGTTCCATGTTTCTTATTTATGTGTACAGGCGATTGAAAAACCGTTCATAGTGTATAAATTTCGAAAAAGGTTTAACATTTTGGATATGTTAATAGGAGCTATTTTCAAAATCTTGTCAAAAAGACTACAGGGGGTAACATGCCTAGTTTAAATCTCAATTCTACAGTATTTCTTTCAATCAACCTGTATTTTAGCTATTATTTTCTAAACATTATTGCTTTAAAGTTCCAATTTAAACAAATGATATAACAATTATTAAATGACAATAAATGCAGAGTTAAATCAACTTTTTTTGGCCCATTTTAACAGTAACAGTAAGAAATTTGAAAAAATAGGACTTTTATGAAAATACACTAAATTCACTAAACTAAATTCCATATTAATGTTACACCGTTATTCTCCCATAGGGGGTAGACAATGATGCGGATATTTTTGTCATATTCATTTTTTACCAATCATGTTAATGCATTTTCACAAAAGTGTTAAGTTCTTTTGTAACTTATAATAACATAATTACAAACAAGTAACATTTGTAAACAAACAATTAAATGTAATATAGAACAATTATTTATTTTCCTGAGTACAAATAAACATGTGAAATTTGTTGTGTAACAGTTTTTCCTAGTCCAATCAATTTCATAATCAATTTGATTCTTTCTAGCATGGTTTGTGCCAAAATCAACCATAATAAAATGTAAATAAATAATTTAATTTTATGAATTTTTTAATTAATGTTTTCTCTTTACTATTAATCTTAAACATCTTGCGGTTTTCATGTAACATAACGCCCTTTATCCTTCAAGAGACAAGCAGAGATATATAACGACTAATATTACAAATCGGTGGTGAGTTTATGGCTATAGACCAAGCACATATCCAGACTCCAACCGTTAATTCATTTATTACACAAATTAACAGAAAAAATACTTTAGCCCACCTGAGTGTTGAACCCAGGACCTAGTACACAGCAATAGCGCTGACTACCACTGGACTAATGAGGCTGTATTAACTTTAATTCAAAGAAAAGAATTACACCCAATGATAACTTTTCTCGGATGAAACGAAGTTAAGATAAAACTGCTATTAAATGAAAATCATCCCGCTTTTTATACCTTAAACGACTAGGCAGAGGTGTGCATAGTTAAAACACCGTGAAATCTATTTCGTTCTCTTCTTGCGGCAAAACAAATTGCCTTGCATTTTTTTAGTTTAAAAAAATTATGGAAATACGCACATGAAACACTAGACGTAAATTTGTAATACTGCCTACAAATGTACGTCTGTACTGTAGATACTTTAGGCACACATCGCACGCGCCACCCAAATTACATGGCGTGATGTTGTTATATTGTACTGGAGTTCGTATGTGCTATCGAAGTTTGCATTTTGCAATGGTTGACCAGTTATTTTTGGTTTTAAACATCTTTATTTCTTTGTAAAACTATTATGTTACCGAGACAGAACAGTACCACAATAGTGGTACCGTTTATTAACAACAATTTTAATTCGGGACGAAAACGAAATAGATTTCCCTTTAATTCTTAAAATACCGCTAGTATATTTAAGATTAACATAAGAGAAAATAATATTAAGTAAAAAATGAATACAATTGTCTCAAACCGCACTTGTTTATAATATATTCAAATTAAATACCTAATACCTTAATATTCAGGGCAACAAATTAATTATCGTGACACAAGCATAATCAACATATTTTCATTTAATATTAATAATATTAAATACAGTCTAAAATTAGTTAGTTACAATAATAATTCACTAAATTATCAAAACATTACCAGTAATTAATGAATATTGTGATTTTTAATGATTATTTTTTTTAATACTTTATATTTTGTAAGGGACATTCTAAAAACGAAAATAAAAAAGAATAACAGCCTATACGTGACCACTGTTGATCAAAGGTCTCTTCTCACACGAAGAAGGTTTGAGCATTAACTGCTTGAATGCCCGTATATGAGACACAATTGAAAATACCTGGTGTCTCGCGTGGATCCACGTTTAGACACACGACGGGTTAATCACCACGCTTGTTCAATGCGGGTTGGCAATTTCAAACTTATAATTAGAATTATAAGTCTAGGTTTCCTCACGATGTTTTTCTTCAACGTATGTCACCGAATAATCTTATGAGTAATTTTTTTTCTCATATCTTTGATCTTTATCATTTATACAATACTTAATCACATGAAATTGGATATAAGTAATCATTTTTTTTTGTTTTTTTGTATTTGATGCGCCGACGATTGACCTCTATCTCGCCTGATGGTAAGCGATGATGTGTCCTACGATAGAGCACGTCGTCCCATAAGCAACCTATTCACTCCATTGATTTCATTGTCCATTCATTGAACAGTGTCGAATAGTACATGATGATAACATCACACCGTTTATACCCTGAATGGGTATGCAGAGACACATATTAATGGAAACATCCATTTTAATCGACTTCATAAAAGAAGGAGGTTGTCAGTTAGATTTGTATATTATGTATCTAGCGATTAGCTGAACCGATTTCGACGTGGATTTCACAAATGTTCGTTACGTTTAGGATCAGGTATCAATATAACAGACTATATTATTAATCGACTTCAAAAACAAGAGATGAAGTGGGTTTTTTAAACGTAGTTATTTTTATTCGTCACTTATATTAAATTTTTAGAATTTCCCTTACAAAATAACCTCGGTACATTGGTCTTCTATGGTCAGTCTACTCTGAATAAATAAAAATAACATGTTTTTTAGACAACCGGTTTATATTATTATGTCATGACCTAAGTAATTAACAGTCTAAGTTAAATTAATGTTAAGCTTTGGGTTATCGACGAGTAGCTTAAAAACATTGGTTCATTGCCCAAGCCCCTAACTTTTACTTGTGAAAAGTTCCGTCACAGGAATCGAATGTGACACCTTTGGTTCGTAGTTACGTGCTAACTACTAGACTAATTGGTGAAATTAGAATTTAGTTTTTAACAAAATCTAGACAATTTATCTATCGTTACACTCTCATGATTTTTATATAAAAATCCGTTCTTAAAACATTCACGTCTTATCATATTCTCGCCCTTAAAGATCCTTAGCAATAAGGATCAAAATTCAAAATCAATAATAATTATAACTCTTCAAATGAATAAAGTAAATTATCACAACTGTTCACAAGTATCAGTGTTGTGTCATCGCAAGCTAGTCGGTTCTATTCCCGGGTGGGTACTGAACCTGTTTACCACAGTCCTGAAGACTTGCCGCCAGGTGGGTTCCTCACGCGAACTGAGGTCTTGGTATCCAAACCTTCGATTTCTTCTGCAAATTGAAAATAATGTTTTTGAGTACAATGCAAGGAGTACATACAAGAATTATGACACGAAATAATAAATAATACGATTAAAAATATCTAAAACTGATGATAATAACTTCATAACATAACATCACGCCTTTTATTCCCGAAGGGGTAAGCAGAGGTGCACATTATGCCACTGTACAATGTAACACCCACTTTTCACTATTTATGTTATGAATTCCATGTAATAGGGGGTGAGCCTATTGCCATATACCGGACTCAGTGCTGCTACTGAGATTTTTTTAAATCCCAGTAATACTTTTCCGATCCCGGTAATCAAACCCGAGACTACTTGCAAACACTCGGCCAACGAGGCAGTTAAAATAGTACTAACGTTATAATACAAAGCGCACTTACTGCTGATAGAGAAGGTAGAAGTCTGCAGGTTCCGCTGTCCCGGTTCCCGCATCTTCCTGCCAGTGGGTGTGCTACACCCGGACACCGAGAGACTCTCCACACTCTTGTTCATCAGTCCTAGGTCTAGAATATAGGGCACAGTTAGGAAATAGGTCTATTGGGGTCAATAAGCAGGTATTTTGTTACATTTATTTAGGTTTTGCGTTCTTTTAAGTGTGTAAACGAGATTTTTAATTATTTTTGTCAAATTCATTGTTGTTAAAGAAAAAGTTATGTCCAGAATCTTTTGTTATTACTAAAATGAATCACAAAGTAAAAGATACATTTTTGGACATATTTTTAATCATAATCCATACTGCTGGACTGTAAGCCTCTACAAAAGAGGGTTTGCCACTATATCCACGGTTGACAGGCGAATTGGAGATCAAAATCTAAAAGCTTATCAGAGATAGCTGCTGCCCAGTATAACATAACATAACATAACATCACGTTATTATGCCCGAGAGGTGCACTTTATACTACTGTACATTGTAACACCCACTTTTCACTATTTATGTTATGAGTCCCATGTAATAGGGGGTGAGCCTATTGTCTTATACCGGGCACAATTCCAGACACCGTGCTACTACTGAGAATATTAAAAAAAAACACCCAGTAATACTTTGCCCGACGCGGGAATCGAACCCAAGACCCCTTGCCCGGCAGTCGCAATTGCGACCACTCGGCCAACGAGGCAGTCTGTAAAATGCGTGGTAATTTAATTAACATACTTATTTGATACATAAAATTCTAGTTCACACACTCAAAAAAAAAACATTTAATTCATAACAGCCGACCTTTTGGCCGAGTCGGTTCCCAGGCGGGGCAGCAAGTATACATGATATTTTCTGCAAGAGAAACACGACGTTAGATCGGAATCCTGCCATCAGGCAACAAGCTATTAGCTTCGATTCCAATGTCTAAGTTTAAGCTAAAAGCTAGCGTTTTTGACCGATGATAAATTACGAATAATGTTGACAGTTCATCGGAATATTTTCCTCTATAAGGTCGACATTATAGACCGAACCCTGATGCAAAATATCTGCATCTATCTAGGTTTTACAAAACAACAGTAACTTATATCAAAAATTGATTTCAATCGAAAGATTTTCAATTAAAATTAAAATGATGTTCAGGTATTCGTGTTCGAGTTAAAAATAAGTAAACATTTATTTTATCTAGTTTTTATAACTTCACCCCGTTCCGTCAAGGGGCAAAGGACATGTAATATTTGACTGAATCATATATTTATTTCTCTTTCATTTGCTGCCCGCCCGATGATAGTAAAACGATATATTTATTAATATAGCCTAGCTTAGCTTAGTATGTGCAAGTGACTACTTACTACGCTTAGTTGCGTGTGAGCATTTGCACTAGACTACATAAATTAGCATCATAAGTCATTTGATAGTATCATTGAATAACGTCATAACTAAACATTTAAGAGAATTGAGATAGCCGATAGGTAGAATGGCCTAATTCCTTAAAAGACCTGCAACTGCATCACTCTTGTTCTTTAGTGTTGCAGTTATATTTGGGCGGTGCAAATCTATTACCATTATGTAATATTGCTTGTTCATCGACCCATTCAATAAAATATGCTCTGCGTTTACAGAGCTACTTTAAACATAACATAATATTAAGCCTTTTATCCCCGAAGAGGTAAACAGAGGTGCATATTACGACACTGTACAATGTAATACCCACTTTTCACTATTACGTGAGTCACAAGTAGTAGGGGGTGAGCCTGTTGCCATATACCGGGCACAATTCCAGACTCCGTGCTAGTACTAAGAATTTTTTTAAAACGTAATAATACTTTGCCCCGAACCCAGGACCCGTAGCCGCACTCGCGACCACTCGGCCAACGAGGCAGTCTATAAAGAGTCGGACTATTAATCGCATTGTCGAGGTGTAATCCTGACAATCTGATTATGGATTGAATAATACTTTTACAGACAACGTTAAAAAAAATCAATTTAACCCCCTGTCTTTTTGTAGTCGGTTAATTAATATACTAAATACCTTGTCCTAAGTGTAAGAAACACTTCAGAAAACCGCATCCAAATCGGTTCAGCCAGTCGCGAGACAATCAGGCACAAATATAGGTACATACAATACAAGTCTTATTGAGAACATACTTTTTAAATCGGTTTAATATTACGATTACCAAACTATTATACCTCTATATTTATTTATAGCTGCCTCATTGGCCGAGTGGTGGCAAGTGCGACTTTGGGCAAGGGGTCGATTCCCGGGTTGGGCAAAGTATTACTGGGTTTGTAAAAACCTCAGTAGTAGCACGGAGTCTGGAAATGTGCCCGGTATATGGCAATAGGTTCACTCCCTATTACATGGGACTCACAACATAAATAGTGAAAAGTGGGTGTTACATTGTACAATGGCATTAAATGCCGTAATGTGCACCTCTGCCTACCCCTTCGGGGATAAAAGGCGTGATGTTATGTTATGTTATATATTTATTTTTAACTTTCTTCCCTTTCTTTTGACTTAATAACTTATGATGCCAACTTATTGCAATTTACACAAGCTTATTAAGCTTGCGTGCGTAGCCTTGCATACAGCCTGTGAATACCCACAAAACAGTGCCATTTTATGGGTGTGTAATAAAAGTAGTGTTTTCATTACCGGGGGAAGGAGTGCCGTTGGTGACGCGCATTGGAGCCTCCAGGAACTCTGGTCTATGAGGAGCTTCCTCCTGGCTTTGTTGTCCGTCGTATATCATTGGAGATTCCACTGGTGTCTTCAGGAATTTTCCGAAACCTGGAAGGATAGGATTAATTGTAAGAAAATAAGTGTGGGAGAGCCATGCTTCAACATGAATGGGTCGGCTCGGGAGTGATACCCTGGCCTCACAGAAAACCGACGTGAAACAACGCTTCCGTTGTGTTTCATCGTATGAGTAAGCGTGAAGGATATACATCGTGTTAATTTCGTTTTCATCCCGCGGCAAAACAACCATCTATATAGAGTACATACTTTCAATACATAAAGTAGAAAAAATAATATTTTTCAATAATAGGACAGATGCCTAATTTTTATTTTAATGTCCGTCTGGTAGACTATTTTAAATCATTAGACACATATTTTTTATTTTCTTACAGAAACGAATACTTTTTTTTTAAGGGGGGAAAATCATCGAATGACTGCTCCCGCCTGGGTGAGGGGGAGGGAGTGTCAGACTCTTACTGACTAAAAACCACCCCGTTCCTTCTCCTGCACGTCGAGCCGGAGCCCCGGTTACCCGTTAGGTTCTCCGCGACAGAAACGAATACTTCCGGCGATATATTGATTTGAAATGTCGCGTGACGTCACTTCTACGTACATTTTATACGTAGAAATGATGTTTTAGCCCCCACTCCTAAACTTTGATTCGTTTTATCTAAGGATTGTTTTATTATACGACAAAATAAAAAAATACGTGTCTAAATTTTTTCATTACCTTACTTACGGACTAGTTATATTTTTAATGTTCATACCCTGTCATCATTCCAATTACATGGCGTGATGTTTTGATAATGTACTCTGAGTTCGTATGCGCTTTCGAAGTTTACTTTTTGCAGAGGTTCACCAGATATATTTTGTTTTCAACGTTTTATTACTTTGTAAAACTATTGTATTACCGAAACAGAACCATTTTATTGTGTTTTTTTTTCATATTTTATCATATTATGTGTATTAATTATATCTGACGTTATGTTATATATGTAAACATACCTTCAACCACTCTCAGTTCTCCATCATCAAGACAGACACGCCCGTTCACGACCACATATTGCGGACTGCCGACCACGTGTTGACCCTGGAAAAACAAAATAGAAAAATATTAGTCATCTCAATAGTAAGTAACTTCGGCGGGAAATAATCATATTAAAGATCACATAATATTTTATTTTCTAAAACACTAGCGACCTGCCCCGGCTTCGCACGGTTCCAATACGCATGTATTATACATATGAACATTTCGCTGCATCAAATCCGTTGCGTAGTTTTAACGACCTAAGCATATATAGGGACATTTAGACGGTGGAAATCGTCTTTGTTTTATACTATGTAGTGATCATGATCACGCTTTTTATCCTCAAAGTACCTCTTTGGCAAGTTTACGTTATGAGTCCCATGTAATATAAAGTCAAAGGTTTTTGATGTATGCATCAACAGCCTACAAATGCCCACTGCTGAGCAAAACCTCTTCTCACACTATGAAGCTGAGTATAACCTACCTCAAAAATATTAAAATCAACAGCCTGCTTATGATTAGCAGCAGATATAGTCCTCTCGAGTTTGGGATCCCAGACGACGATGTCTGCGTCACTGTTGACGGCGATACGTCCCTTCTGCGGCCAGATGTTGAAGATCTTGGCCGCGTTCGAGCTGGTCACCGCTACGAAGCGACATGGGTCCATGATTCCTGATGAAGAGAGATTTAAAATTAGTTGTTATTTATAAGCCTGCACGGTTGGCGCGGTGACTGGGCAACTGGCTGCCGCGCAATGTGTCGCGGGTTTGATTCCCGCACGGAACAACTCTCTGTATGATCCACAGATTGTTGTTCCGGGTCTGGGTTTAATGTATATGTGAGCTTGTATGTTTGTAAACGCATCCAGGACACTGGATATCACCTGTGTCTTTGTATCCTTGTGCGGGGCAACATTAAAAAAAAAAGAATCAAAAAGTTGTTTGTCAATATACCTCTAGTTTACATCCTCGGAATAGACATTATATTTTTACTGCAGAAAAAGATATTACTTAATATATTTTGTTCTTTATTTCATAAGTTCTTCGTTGGTTGTTTTTTTTCTTTAATGAGAGGGGAAAAGAAGAATGAAAAGCTGCATCTGCTTCAGGGTAAACGCAGATTTCGGAAATCAATCTTTCAATACATAATAAGTTTACGTAATTGACGTGGGAGAGCAATGTTTTGGCACAAATAGGTCGGCTCGACTAAAGTGATACCGCGCACGGCCTCACAGAAAATAGACGTGAAACGACGCTTGAGTTGTGTTTAGTCGTGTGAGTGAGGTTACCGGAGGGCCAATCATCCCCCAAAGGCCGGTAACGCACTTGTCAATTGTCTGGGAATTCAGGTGTCTATGAGCGGCGGCGATTGCTTACCATCAGGTGATCCCTCTGCTCATTGCCACTTCTATCCTATACAAAATATAGTACAGTAGAAGATCTCTCACCAGTATTAACAGCCTTCTGCCAGAGTATAGCCATGCGGTCCTCGACGCCGTTGACTCCGTTGGGTATCTTGGCGAAGTTGTCCTTGCCGAGCTGTTTGTCCTTCTCGTGGAATGTGCAGTTGTCGCTGCCTATTAGTTGCAGGTGGTCGCTGAGGGAAAAGGATTCTTTTATTAAAAAACGTAGACTAGCATGATTTTCACATGTATCGTGGGTACATTTGAAACACCTCAAGTTATTTAAGTTTTTTAACATCAAGTTATTTAAGTAGAGGTAAGTTACTTACACAAATTGTTGTCCCGGGTTGGGACAACTATTTGTGCATTACACAATGAATTGTTTCGAGTGGGAATCGAATTCGCATCACGTTGCAGCAATCGGTCACTCAGCCACTCGGCCTCAGTAACTTAATAACTATAATAAAATAAAGCCTATTGATGTTAGCTACTTGAAAAACCATCAAAGATAGTGGTTATAACTTGCAAGCCTTATCTTTTACTTTTCGATAAAATATTAAGATTTTTGTCTAGTTCGGGCAGTGTCGTGGTGGTACGGAGGTTTAAGACGCCTGCTTTTTATGCACGAGGGTGCGGATTCGAAACCTACCAAGCACCAATGTGACTTTTTCAGAGTTATTTTGTACTTTCTAAGATTATTTAGACACCACTGACTGACAAACGGTCAAGGAAAACATCGTGAGGAAACATGGAATTCGCCAACCCGCATTTAGCAAGCGTGGTGATTAATGCTAAACCTTCTCCGTGTGAGAAGAGGCCTTTGGTCAACAGTGGCCATTTATAGGCTGTTGATGTCAGTCTAGTTGTCAACAGAAGAAGACTTTTGCTATACAGGTAATTGTTCTTTCTTTTTTTCTTCTTTTTGTTTGATGTTTTTAGATTAGAGGTAGAAGCAGGATAAGGATTGAGATTTACATCTCAGTCGTCATATGATAGGAATAGTATATAAGTAAGTAATACTCACTCAGCCAAGGCCTCGCACATGGCCTGTGGCGTGCTGGGGTCGGGCCGCAGTGGCGGGGACAGTACGTGCGCCGCCGCGTGGCGGAAACATGCGTTGCCGTAGTGGGACCCTGGGACATTCAATATACTTAGATGTTAGTGTATCAAGAATGCGTAGAAGATTTTCGTGAATAGGTAATTAGAAGAAGAGGTAGTGAATAATTACTCTTCCTTGTGTTCTACAGTCGGTTGGAAAGAAAAAAGCAACATACCGGCCGAACGTATAACCTCCTCCTTTTTTGAAGTCGGTTAAAAATATTGATAATAAGCTTCTGAAGCGTGATTTTGAGAATTCTGCCTTCTGAATTAAATTCACATAGGAAAATGGAAACGATTTCGTTGTTTTTCTCATCTAATAATAATATCTTCAGATTTATTATGTTGCGGGATCCAAAACCGTGAATAACTAAATATTCATGTCTTTGGGATGCGCAAGACGTTTTGTGGTATTTTCCTCATTGTATTTTCAGTACGTCCAGGATTACAGGTCTTGTAGCAGTTTTGAGGTATTGTATGTGAGTTTGTCCCATAAAAAAATGAATATACAGAGTGTCCATACCATCGGTTCCAACAGTAGCGGCGAGTGTCTCCCCGATGAGCGCGTGTCGCTGGCGCGAGCGGGCGAGCTGCAGGGCGCGCACTGCGCTCTTGGACATCATGTGCACTATGTATAGAGGGGCCCCGGCCTGGAAATACCAAATAATGTTGATTAAGTCTAATTCATTTGCCAGAGTTTGTATTTCCTGAAGGATAACCTGGGTGTGTTCAAGACCCGAGTGAATATGTACGCCTAATTAGACGACGTGATTCATCGTTTACCACCAGCCGAGATTGTGGTCAAACGTCAGCCCATCAAATATAAAATAATAAGTCACTACTATCTCAAAAGTCAACGAAAATCACTAGTATTTATTATAGTGACGTCAGGTAAGGTGGGTATCCATGGGCCTTGCCTATTGCTTACCATGAGAACCGACTGCTCATTTCTCGTCTCATGCTATAAAAAGGGTTTACCAAATTCTCACACTCACCTGGTTAGCAATAACACAGGCGCGGTTAACAGCCTCAGCTTCCACCTCCTCGTCCCTGGACAGCTGGTGACCCTCAGGACCTGTTACTCCTTTAGCCAACAGCTTCTCCGTGTTGCGAGCTATTATGTGACCGTTTTCTGCGTGCACCTGCAACAAATATGATGAATATTGTTTTATTGTGATTTTACTATAATCCCCAAATCGTTTGCCAAGTCCACACTTGGCAGTTTAAGACAGCATCCCCACGGATGCTGTCTTAAACTGCTTTCTTGTTTATAATAGATCTGTACAGTTAGAAATTAAAAATAAACATGTGTTTAATAGAAGTACAGTACTGAGATTTCTTTTTATTAAAATTACCAACAGTGACCACGCCTCTTGAGGTAAATACGTAGAGAGAGACATAACATTACGCCTTTTATCCCCGAAAAGGTTGGCGGAGTTGCACATTACAGCAATTAATTCTACTGTACTGTAATGGGGAATGAGTCTATTGCCATATACCGGGCACAATTCCAAACTCCATGTTACTACAGAGAATTAAAAAAACCTGTAGTACTTTGCCCGATCCGGGAATCAAACCCGAGGCAGTTGGCATACGTAGGGAGAGCTCTCTGTCTAACCTTAGCTACCATAAAAAGCGTAATATTACGCCATAACAATTAATGACATCACAACCTCCATTCAGGAGGACACCAAAATAAAATTATCTTTATAAAATGGGTAGCTGACCATTATGTTATGGAATCAAACCTATTGTCTTATAGATTAGTATGCTGTACTCGTATACTGGGTTGTTTGCGAATGCTATTTTAATTTATAAGGTATAAACAATTAGTCATCGTGCCTTTGTGTTTGTCAATTCAACAATTTTTTTTTTTTTTTTAAAAAAAACGTTGCCCCACACTAGGATTTTCTCCTGTGTCGTGGGTGCGTTTACAAACATACAAGTTCACATACACATGACACCCAGACCCGGAACAACAATCTGTGGATCACACAAAGAATTGTTCCGTGCGGGAATCGAACCCGCGACACGTTGCGCGGCAGCCAGTTGCCCAGCCAACGCGCCAACCGTGCAGTCAATTTGTTAGTTTTTGTATATTAGCTTTTACCCGCGGCTTCGCTCGCGTCACAAAAGGATAAAAAGTAGCCTATGTGACATATACCAATACACACAGCGCCATCTATACCAATACTTTTGTTTTCCCTCGGGAATATCACATTTTCTCCGATCATAAAAGTACCCTATTATTTAATCCGGATTTCTAACTTTACGTCTGTAAAAATTCAAAGCAATCGGTTTAGTAGTTACGGCGTGAAAGCGGAACAAACAAACAAACAAACTCACTTTCCGATTTAAAATATTAATAAGGATTGAACTTTCATCAACAGCCTATAAATACCCACTGCTGAGCAAAGCGTCTTCTCACACGGAGAAGGCTTGAGCATTAATCACCACGCTTGCTCAATACGGGTTGGCGATTACAGACTTATAATTAGAAATTATGAGCCTAGGTTTCCTCACGATGTTTTCTTTCAGTCAGTGGTGTCTAGACATTCTTAGAAAGTACATATGACTCGGAAAGAGTCACATTGGTACTTGCCGTTGGTAGGTTTCGAACCCGCACCTTTATGCATGAGAAGAGGGCCTCTTAAGCCTTCAGGCCACCACGACGATATTGAACTTTACTGATTTGTAATACGGTTGAAAAGATTTTGGACAGTTTAAGGAGTCCAACCTGTCTGTGGTGTGGACTTAAAGATAAAACAAATATATTGATCATCATCAAGAGCTGGAAGACGTCCACAGTTAGACATGGGCTATATGAGATAAGAATTTAAATTTATTTTGAATAAAATTGGTAGACTATATACAAGAAACAATATCATGATTTGTCTGTCTACCATACGTTCTAACTTCATAAAACATATAACATAACATCACGACTTTTATTCCCGAAGGAGTAGGCAGAGGTGCACGTTACAGCACTTAATGCCACTATATAATGTAACAACCACTTTTCACTATTTATGTTATGAGTCCCATGTAATAGGAGGTGAGCCTATTGCCATATACCGGGCACATTTCCAGACTGCGTACTACTACTGAGATTTTAAAAAATCCAGTAATACTTTGCCCGACTCGTCAAGAAAAAAAACGAAATAATTACATTAATAAAATCTCCAATTTACCTGGGGCAAAGCCTTAAGTTCTGCGCAAGTCTCCATAGCGCAATACAGGTCATAGTCATCCAGCATCCACGCATCCTTGTATGCCATGAACATCTTGAAGGAGTTCACACCATACTGCTCCGACGCGAGCTGCTGCATCTCCTTCTTCACTGCTGGAGACCACCACGTCACACCCACGTGAAGACCGTAGTCACAGCATACCTTGTAATGATGAAGAGCAATATTAATATTAATGTCTTTAGCCGAATGCAAACAAGTGAGGTTCAAAACATTTGACCGTAAGAATGTATGTTAGTACGACATTACCTCGCGATTGGCTGTATCGATTTTGATGCGGTTTACAGAAAAGCGTTTATTACACTTTTTTTAAGGGAGAAAATCATCGTATGACTGCTCCCGCCTGGGTGAGGCGGGAGAGAGTGTCAGAGTCTCTTACTGACTAAAAACCACCCCGTTCCTTCTCCTGCACGTCGAACCGAAGCCCCGGTAACCCTTTATGTTCTCCGCGACTCCGAATCGGCATCAGCCCTGTTGGGCCTCATCCGTGGAAAAGAACAGCAACAATGCTGGGATCGAACCTGCGACCCGTCATCGTAAATCTCATGCGATAACCATTGCGCCACGCTTGCAACTGTTTGTTACACTTACGACATTATTTTAATATATTAATTAACAGAATTAAAAAAAAAGAGGAGGTTAAGACGGTGTTTCTAAACGTAGTTTATTAAATGATTATTTATTCTCTTAAAAGTATTCTAAAGGGCTCAGAAGGTTTTCTTTCTCGTTATTTGTGTCATGTCATCCATTGAAATCCCAAATATCAAAATAAATACTCAGAACACTTAATCATACTTTGCCTCGTTCTAGGAAAACTTCAGCTTTTTGTATATATTTTTTGCACATTAAACCATTCTGAAAGTCAAAGTCAAAATCATTTATTGCAATTAGACAAGAAAGGCACTTTTGAACCTCAACGAAAAAATTAAAAGTGAAGCTATTTGCTCATTCCAAGGTTTAGATTCCTATGGAGAAGAACGAGCAAGAAACTCCATAGGTTACTCTTTTTCAATCAGGTTCACAATACAATTCTCTAGTTACATCGTTTTGTTGTTTGGATTCATCTCATTCTTATCTATTTTTGTGTCAAACTTCATAAAAAAGTGACCAGCAGTTTAGGCGTAAAAGTTACAAATGAACTCTTTCCACATTTGCAATATTAAAGTTAGAATAGTGAAGCCACATACCTTGCCATCGGCCTTCTCCCTCCAGTTATTGTAGGCCTCCAATAGAGACTGTCCTTTTTGCGGTAGAACGAAGTCAACTGAAAAGTAAAATTAATGATTGCTCAGATAAAATGTAATTTTTATATGGAACAGATGAAAGCAGACGACAGATGACTTGATGGTAAGTAATTCAGAACCGCTCACGGAGACTCGTGACACCACGAGTTATTTTTGGGGAACTTTTTTGATAAGGACCTTTCGCAGTTTAGCACGCATGACTGCCTCGAGTTAGGACACCCGCCATAATTCGTGAACCGTACTATAGTGAGAGCGTTTACAAACATACAAGTTCACTTATACACATGACACCCAGACCCGGAATAACAATTTGTGGATCACTCAACGAGTTGCTCCGTGTCGAACCGTGTTGTCGAATTTAATAATTCAAGTCTATCTAATACTCACTGACACAAGTAGTGCCTCCAGCCACTGCCGCCCTGGTACCCTTGTAGAAGTCATCAGCGCACTTGGCGCCCATCATCTCCAGCTCGAAGTGGGTGTGTGGGTCAATACCACCAGGCATCACCAGCTTGCCAGTAGCATCGATAGTCCTGGTGCCTCCAGGAATGATGAGGTTGCGGCCGACTTGCCTGGAAAGAAGGAAAACATAGATGAGTATAATTTTTTTTTCAATCCTTTTTTTGACGTCGGTAAAAATAAACACGCGTTAGCCCTGAATGATATATCCCGAGCTACTAACATCGTTTTGTTCGCAGCTCGGGATCGGTCAACCCACGTCTCGCCCCTCAAACCGTCTAGACGTCTTCTTTGGACGACTGTATAGACTGTGATAATAGTTAGTAATATGAACCCACACAAATTATAATAGCAATTATGATTGCTTGAAATAGCCGTATTAGTAATATTAGCACGCTATGATTTTATCTATCGTACATCTGAATTTTAATGGCGATGATGTGAATATGTGAGTATTGTCATTCTTTTTCTTGTACGTGAATACATCCAGTATCGTGTTTCAAAATACCTATAAGATTTCAGAAAAGATTGTTTTTGTGAATGTGCTGACTAAAAAGTCGAAACCTTGTTATTTTAATATCAGATATTAATAAAAACCGTCCTCCGTTTTGGAGTCGATTCAAAAATCGCAAAAAGAATTCTATTTAAAAACCATTTCATTAAAGAAACCATTTAAAAGGAATTCTATTTAAAAATAAAAAAAATAACTGCTAAAAACTTTTTAAATGAACTATTTAAAAATAAACTTAAAAAAATAATAATAAGCGAACTTTCTGAAAAAAAAAACGCGATTTTTTTTTCAATAACATCAAATATTTTGAAACCAACAAAAGGTTCTAAAATTAAATGAGAATGCATCTAGCTGACTCATCCAACGGATTTTAACCGTTTAAATTATTATTGGTTAACAAAGCAATCTAATTTATTTAGTTAACAATATTGCGTTAAATAAGGTTAAGAATCTATTGACCTGATATTTTAAATTGATGCGGGAATCAGATCTCGAGTTCGGTTTATTAGTTTTGATATTTTTAAATAGACGGGGTGTTAAAGTTAAACGTGTCAAATGTATATTGGATTAGAAATGTGTGGGTGGTCTAATATCTAGTATGCTACATATTTTTAGAGGTAGAATGGGCTGGATCTGAGAGTAAGGAGGAAGGAACTTTGTCCAGTCTAGACCGGTGCAGTCGGTCTGACTAAGAGCCCAAACCAAAAAACTGTTAAGGAGTAGACAGACAATCGGAAAATGTTGACATGACTACTCTAAACTCTAATAGTTCTAACATTTTTTTTATGGAGTAGAATACAAGCGAGCATACAGATCGCCTGATGGTAAACGATCAGCGCCGCTCATGAACACCAGCAACACCAGAGGAGTTACAAGTCCCGGCTTTTAAACTGTCAAACACCGCGAGGACACCGTTGACCGCAACCTATTGTTCTTTAAGTGTGTCTATAATGACAGTACTCAAAGAGTTAAAAAGGAATACGCTCTTTTCTTGAAGGTTTATGCTAAGACCCTCCCCCCTCCCCTTCCCCAATCTCCCCAATTCCTGAATCCCCAACGATCCTCAAACTCCTAATCCCCAAAAGGCCGGTAACGCAGTTGTAACGCCTCTGGTGTTCCAATTGTCCATGGGCGACGCCTATTGCTTACCATTAGGTGATCCGTCTGCTCGTTTACCGGCTTATGCCATAAAAAAAGACAGAAATACTCATGTAAAAATATCATATCGATCTTTGTTCAGCTGATTTTTAAGTGTAAAAGAATAAACGATTCTAGCAACTTAACAATCACAAACCCTTTATAAATAACAAGAACAAAGCTGATTAAAATTCACCATGTCACTCCAGAAGAAAACCATTGCTACATAGTAAATAAATCAAGTATGTAGTATGTATGTATGTAAATAAAATGTTATATAACAAATTAAGATAGTGCCACCCAATACGGAGTTGCGGATGTCAGCTCGTTACCGCATTAGTAGCTTCCTGTACGCGCACACGCATTCGAATGTAGTCAACGGAACGCGTCTACGTTCGCAATTCAAACGTTTGAATTTGACACTTCCTTAACGGCTTTCATCTTTTTTTTTAATGATGATCGTTGTCGTTGCTGTTTAAAGTTTAAGTTTTTTATTTGTTTATGTATTATGTTTGTCGGATATTGGAAATTATGTCATAATAAATAGCAAAAGACAGTTAATTATATATTTTGACAACAGCTTATTGTTATATTAATACGACAAGGTTTTCGTGTCTAGTAAACGTACAACTTATATAAAAAATGGTTTTAAGCAAAAATTTGTATTTTGTACTCATAATTTTTTTATGGAATACGAGCCAAACGAGCAGACGGATCACCTGATGGTAAGCGATCAGCGCCACCCATGGACACTCGCAACACTATAGAGGTCACAGGTGCCTTTTAAAAAGGAATACGCTCTTTTCTTCAAGGTTTGAAGGTCGTATCGGTTTAGAAATACCGCCGACGACAGATCATTTTACAATTTTGCTGTGCGATGCAGAAAGCTACGAGAGAAGCGCACAGTTGTGGCCTGCCAACCATCAATTTCTTTTCACCTAAAAATTATTTTCTTCCTTCACATCAGTTTCAAAGTTTAATTACGTTCTTATTTTTAATAAGATCCCTTAAAAATATTTCCCTTATTTTATGGTCAAGAAGGAGCCCCTTTCTTAACAAACAAGATTTAATTATTGAAATGAAGCAGGGATGAAATATGGTTACCTGTCAGTATCGCTGTGTGGCCAAGTTAAAATACTATCGAGACGAATTCAATTTAACGGATCATTAGTTCAGAATCGAGAATAGATTTAGATAGAATTTTTAGGGAAAAAAACAACAGCTATTGCTTCCGATAAGATTGCATTTATATCAAAAAGTGAAGTTTTTTTTCTTAAACCCTAGTCTTCTCCAATTAGTCTTTATGGCTAAGTTTATACTTAATCTTAACATTTATCCACACAGTCAAATTTATGATTTAATTATGGAGTTTGTTGCTCGATCTTCTCCTAGACATCACCTTGAAATGAGTAAATAGCTTAACTTTAATTTATTGTTGACGTTCAAAAGTGCCTTCCTGGTCTAATTGAAATAAATTATTTAGACTTTGATTTTGATTCTCTACTCCCTATGTACTAGTCAAGGAGTAAAAAGTAAAATAAACCGAGTGTTTGATTGTAGTGTTCGATCCTCAGTCCAAACAAAATATAATTTCTTTTTAACCGTAATGATTATCTTACAGAGTTTTTATACCTACTATAATCGCAAACTATAAACTACTATTCCATGTCGCAAAAACATTTCTATTACACAAATCTCACACAATACACCATCATTAAACACTTAGGCACAAGAAAAATTACTTTTACTGTTCGTACAATCAAACTAACATACAATTTTGTACAAAATCTAGTTCACACGAGAAAATCTTAACATTTTTTATTCCATCGCAATTAAAAACACTTTCATTCCTATTGTCATGATGATACGTATTAGAGACATTACATTCTCAATCGAATATCAAACTTAACTTAAAAGGATAAGGTTTAAAATTGAGTGTAGATGGTTTAGTCTGAAAATACAGTACAGATAGCAATCGTCAAATATGAAATCACTGGAAGGCATTTGTTTGAGTTAACGTAACGTTTGGCACAGTTACATGTTTACAAATATTGCAACCAATGACGTAATAGTGTCCTAAGATGCGTATGCGCAGCTCAGACGGAGAAATTGAGGTGCAAACAAATATTTGTGTTTGGTATTGTCAAGTCTTCCTTGCAATTGTTGTTTGTTGAAGTGATTCTGCGTTTGAGGTTTTATGCGAAATCTTGAGTTTGTTTTAGTATTTTTTGCGTATGGTTGAGTTGATTTGAAGTGTTTATGTATTGAAAAGAAGACATTAGACCGCTTATTATGTTTATGTTTTAAAATGTTGGACACGCTAATTTAATTTATATCCCTGCAATATTCTCAAGTGGAGTGACCAAACCGAATTTGACGTGGGCTCAGTAAAATCTTGGTATTTGTTCCTTACCAATAATTTTAAAGATTCTGTTGCATCCTTTGATTTTTGTTATGGCATAAGCCGGTAAACGAGCAGACGGATCACCTGATGGTAAGCAATCGGCGTCGCCCATGGACACCTGGAACACCAGAGGCGTTACAAGTGCGTTACCGGCTTTTTGGGGATTAGGAGTTTGAGGATCCTTGGGGATTCAGGGATCGGGGAGATTGAGGAAGGGGAGGGTAATTGGGCCTCCGGTAACCTCACTCACACGTCGAAATACAACGCAAGCGTTGCTTCACGTCGGTTTTCTGTGAGGCCGTGGTATCACTCCGGTCGAGCCGGCCCATTCGCGTCGAAGCATGGCTCTCCCACACTTAAAGCCTTTGATTTTTTATAATGATTCTTATAGGACTGATATTATTTCAAGATTTGGCGAGCTCTTTCAGAAATGGAGGAACTTAACCTTTGCTTTATTTAGATATTAACACATGGCGACTAATACGAATGCACATTAAAAAAGTCACTACATATTTTGTAGTTTGGTGCTATCACTCTCTTACATCGGGGTTCATCGTGGACCGTTTCCCTTTAACAAATATATCTTCAAACATACATCAGTTGGTGGTCCGCCGGATAGCGGCAATTTAACCAATGAATTATTTAAACTTCTCTACCCATCTCCCTGAACACACTTGTATAACTATAGCAGTGGAGTTCAACACCCCTTCAATGTGACTAGTTAAATGCGAGGATGCCGTCCATTTTCCATCACAGGGTGACTCTTATTAAACATGTATTTGCAGTGTATATGTAGAAGTGATGATATTTGGAATCCCAATCTATAGTTCTAGGCTTTTCTTAACCCCTGGTATACCGGAACTTAGATATGCGAGACACAATGTGTTTTCTTGGCCTGCTTCGTTGGCCTAGTGCTTGCAAGTGCGACTGCCGGGCAAGGGGTTTCCCGGGTCGGGCAAAGTATTAAGTACTGGGTTTTTAAAAAATTATCAGTAGAAGCACGGTGTCTGGAATTGTGCCCGGTATATAGCAATAGGCTTACCCCTTATTAGATGGGACTC